AGGGTGGAGAGGGGCTGAGTGCAGGGGAGAGGCCAAGGTGGAGAGAGGATGCTGTTACCCAGGCAGTAAGAGGAGCTGGTTGGTAGGAAATGATTCCTTGGAGAGGCAAATGGTTCTTTTCAAGGAGTCTTTGTAGAGGCTAGAACATACTCTGTTTCCAGGTGAATCAGGGCACAAGCCTGGCAGACAGTGGGCACTCAATGAATGCTTGTTAAACTGAATTTCCGTTTAGAAAATTGTTTAGTAGAATTGCCTTCCTACTCCAGTAAGATTAAAAAACCTGGCATTTGCTTTTGGAAATGCCTTGGACGCCCCCTGGTGGCGACACACAAAGGCTGAGGGGGCACCAGTGCCTTCCATCCTAACTGGTTCCTGGGGGGGCTGCCCTTTCCTCCTGAGTCTCCACAGACCTCATCCCAGGGGGACTGGGAGTAGGAAGAAACAGGGAAAAAGGAAGAACCCTGTGGGGGAAGGATGAGTGGAACGTCCTTGCTGGAAGATTCCATGGCAGTTGGTAGAGGACAGCCATTGGTCTGGGCAGGGGAACCAGGGTGCAGAGGGAGTTGATGAGTCAGTGTAGGACTGGCATCCCTGAGCAGTGGAGAAGGGGGGGTGGCTGTGTGTGTGCACCTGCGGTGTGGAGTGGGGTAGCTGCCAAAGTATAATAGGGAGATACATTTTACAGCCTCTGTTAATTTTTCATGCTCAGAAAAAGACTAAGGAAACCTGGATAATTGAAATCAAAGATGGACCTGGGAGAGGAAAAAAAAATGGTTCATTTAAACTAGGTGGAAAGAGGAGAAATGAGAATGTAGAAAACCAAAGGAAGAAAAGGGGAGAAGCAGAGGCTACTGGGAAAATTCCTAAGGCAGAACGTGCAGCCTTTAGAAGACTGAGTTGGCTTCTTCAAAAATAACAATAAAGCTTGGGTTGTAGGGGTGAGTGAGGATTAACAGATAGTCAAGGGCTGGGACATTGATATTCTTCTAGTTTCTGGACATCCAACACCAGCTGCACCATGTGGTTCCTTTCATAGGAGGCCCCAGAAGGAATGTGGAGCTTCTTAAGGTCAGACTGTGGTTCTGCAGCCATTCCTCCCTCCTTCTGGTGCCCTAGGCATCCTCAGGGATAGATGCTCACTCTCTGGTACTGATGAATCAGATGGGGGCAGCCACATGCAGAAAAGAAGGACAAGGAAAATGTCAGGAAGCAGGAAAAGCATGGGAAAATGAAGAGGGAAGGGGGTTAAGAGGCAGACAGGGAAGGAGAAGTGAAGTGGAGGTGGAGGAAGCCGGGCTTGGAAGAGAAGGGAATAAGTACAGGAAAAAGGTTAAAAAGATGCAGTCATTCAGTCAGTCAACAAACATTTACTCTGCACCTACTATATATCAAGCAATGTGCTGGGAGTGGAAGGTGCTATGGTGGACAAGACAAATACGGGGATTTTAGGAGTGGCGAATGGATAGCTTTATAAATTAGAAATGGGGAGAAAGTGACAACTTAGAACAGGAAGAGGCTGAAAGCATTGGAAACAAGGGAAATATCAGCGAGGGAGAAACTGTCTCCAGATGCACCCAGGGAAGAGACGTTTCTCCTGGTTGGTGCTGAGACCCACAGCTGGAACCGCCTGTTGGCTCTGGGGCCATGGAGATCGAAGCAGGTAGGATGGGCAGGGGAGAAATTCAGGACGGGGAGGGACAGGAGTGGGTAGAGGTGGAGGGTACAGATGCGAAGCTTCACAGCGGTTTACTTGAGCACCACCGTCGGAAGATATCTTTGGGCTGACAAGTGGTTCTCTAATTTGGCTGCCTGTTGGAATCACCTGAGGAATTTCTTAATACCGTCACCAGGGTTACACTCCCAGAGATTCTGATTTCCTTGGCCTGGGATGGGACCCAGGCTTTAAAATTTATTAAACGCTCACAAGTGAGTCTAAAGCGCAGCTAGGACAAAGCAAGCATTAGGGGCCGGCTGCCCAGCCTCTCTCCTCTCTGTAGAGTATGGGGGCATCTGTGGGAAGCAATCTGTGGGAAGCAAAACTGTGCGGTGGTTTTAGGGTGCTGTAACTGAGGCTCAAAGACACCAAAGGTCCTGACAAAAGTATAACGGGGTCCTCTCCTTAGAAGATGCTCCCTTCCTCGGCTGTGCCTCTGGTAAGAACAAGAAAGATGGCAGGGAAGAGCAATTTAAATTACTCAGAACTGCTGGCAAATTCTTCTACGTTTTTGCACCCTGCGTCCCCACCCACACACACGCAAACTTTTTTTTTCCCCCCACTTCTGCTGTCTTCCTGATGGGGCCTCTGGGGTAGGAGAAGCACAACTGCCCCAGCTTTCATCCCATAAGAGGTCTGGCAGGATATTCAACCCCACCTCCCTGGCCCCCAAATCCCTGCACCCTTAAATAGCTGAGTCCCTGAACACGGGTGTAGTCCTTGGCTTGACAGTGAAGCAATCTTAACTTGAAAAATGGCCTGGGAACAGAATGCACGGTCTATATAAACAAGTCCCATGTAGATGTAATTGTATGCAAATATTCATTCTTTAACTCGGCATACATTTCCTGTTGGTCCTCTAGTCTGGGCCTCTAACCTACCACTGCAGCTCACAGTCTAGTAGGGAAGTAAGAAGTAAGAACAAAAGTGTGCAATGCAGTGTGAGTGAGTGAAGCCCTTTGCATGTGCCAAGAGCAGCCCAGAGAAGTAAAAAGCTCTGGCTCAGCAGGAGTTCAGACTTTGAGCAGGTTCGTGAAGGATGCATAGGAGTTTACCAGGAAAAAGGAAGGAAAAAGTAGGAAGGGAAATAGAGAGATGCGTAAGTGTTTAGGAACTGTGGAATCTTTTCTTGAGGCAAAAAGGTAGGATTTGTGGAAGGACAATAGGGTGGCAGAGGGAGATAAAGCATGAAAGGTACACAAAGAGTGTGAAGGACATTGTTTGCCTAGAAAGGAGTATGGACTTTTTACCCAGAAGGGTGCAGGGAGCCAATGAAGGATTTAACTAGAGGAGTGATATCTTTTGAAGTCTTGTTCTTTCAAAGGCTAAATCTGAGAGGGGTAGACTGGAAGAGACTAGTAACATTTATTCAACAATTACAATATACTGGGCATTCTGCTCTGTATTTTATCACACCAACCCTTTATGATAGTGTTCTTCAAACTGCCAGTCATGATCAAGAAAAGGAAGTGGTGGGAGGGATAAATTAGGAGGTTGGGATTAACATATACACACTACTATATATAAAATAGATAACCAACAAGGACCTACTGTATAGCACGGGGAACTATACTCAATATTTTGTAATAACCTATAAGGGAAAAAATCTGAAAAGGAATATCCATCTATCTATCTATCTATCTATCTATCTGGATCACTGTGCTGTACACCTGAAACTAACTCGATATTGTAAATCAGCTAGACTTCAATTGAAAAAAAAAGGAAGGAAGGAAGGAAAGGAGGAAAGAGGGTGGGAGGGAAGAAAGAATAAGATAGGACAGGATAGAAAACATCAGTCCATCACGCGTAGGAAGGGTAAGTATTGTTTTTGGAAAGTTTTATCATACACTCACAGGAGTATAAGTGTACTGGGTCAGGATGCAAATATATTTCTCACTGTGGGGTTACGATTTTTTTTAAAAAAAGGAAAGCCACTGCTCTAAGATGTAGGTGTGATTAGCCTCATTTTACAGATGAGGACATAAGGCGCACAGTTTCGGTACCCTGCCTCTCTGTAAGTAGGCTGTGCGAGTTTCGAGCCCAGGCTGGTCTGAAACCAGAATGGATTCCTTCTCACTAACGCCTTCCAAAGTTACACAGCCATAGGAAAGATAAACCTACCCAGGTAGAGCCTTGGCCAAGTGCTGAACTCACAGCACCTCGTTCAAGGAGGTAAGTGGGACAGAGGCCAATTCTGTCCACCCGAGGCGCTGGTTAGAATGCATATTCCAGGCGTGCCCCACACACGGGAGGCAGCCCCGGGAATCTACTTTTAGAGAGCTTCAGGTGATTTTGATGCCCACGTTAGCGGGTCGATGCAATAACCAGGTGAGGATTAAGAGGGGTTTGAACTGAGACGGCGAAAATATTCCCCTCTGAGAGGTGTCACTTAGCCCCAACTCCCGCTATTGTGTCTGACTCCAATGCCTCGCTGTACAAAGTCGCCCGGAGGTTCACCTCCCTCTCCAGAAGCGATGAAGGGCGAGAGACTAAATTAAAGACTGGTGGCTTTCCACTCAACAGGTACTGGGTTCAGTGGCCGAAGACCGAAAGGCCCCTGCCACACCAGGGCTACACTGGATTGAGGCGCAAAGTAGATGCTATTTATGGGGCATTTTTCGGCCTCACCCTGGTGACTTCTGATTGGCTTTAGCGCAGATCTATCACTCATCTTCTGGGTTAGAGGTGGGTGGAAGGTCAACCACGACCAATACAAAACCACTCCTCAGCTAAGCCCCTCCCCATCCAGCTTCCTGTTGCTGTCCATCAACTACCTTGTAGGCGGGACTTTGCCTCCCGCCAGTTGGCTGGCGAACATGTCGTTCACTCTTCAGTAGGCTTCCGGTTGGCGCGCTCTACCGTCCATCAGTGACATTTCACAGTTCTATTGGCCAAACCAACGTCGCTCTAGGTGCCTCTCTTTGATTGGTTGGTGGTGCTGTCGGTCCCCAATGTACCGAACTCTTATTGGTGAACGCTGCCGTCGCTCGGGCGGTGGCGGGCTCCGGGATTGGCGGGTGCTAAGCGGGCGGTGTCAGGCTCTCGGTGGCGGCGGAGGCGGCGGAGGCCAGGGAGGAAGATGTCGTAATGAGCGGTGGGTCCTGGCCGCTGCCGGCGGGGTCTTCCCGGCTCTCAAGAGTCGGGAAGACGGGCAGAAGCCGCAGGGAGGAGGAGCCGGGGCTGGGGGTTCCCCCCTGGGGCTGGGCCTGGCGCCGGGGCCCGGCTCCGGGAGGGGCGGGGAGGGAGGATTCCCGCCCGGAGGAGGAGCGGGGCTGGCCAGCCAGGCGGAGGCACCCGGAAGGGGGCGTTCGACTCCCCGCCCCCTCCGAGCCCGCTGGGCTGGAGGGCGGCGCTTCCGGGGGCTGGCGAGAGGATCGGGCACCCGGGGCGGGCCTGGCACCTCCTCCGCCCGGTGGCCGACACGCGTGAGCGCTACCAGGCCCGGGGACGTTGCCTGGGTCTGCTCTGAGGAGGCGGTCGGCGTCCTGTGCGCTTGTTCTGTGTTCGGGGACCCTCTTGCACTCTAACTCTAGGTGCCCATCTGCACTTAAGGGTTCTCCCGTGTGCAGAGAGGGGCGGGGGAATGCTTGAAATTCCGACCAACCACATGGGCACTGCTGGGTGTGGAAGCCAACCTAGTTAGCGATGTATCCCACTCGAGAGATGGTGTCAGGACACGAGGGCACTCCCTAGGCAGATGACCTCTCGCCTGAGACTGCGGAGTGGGCAGAAACCTCCTTTTAATATTTTCACTTGCATCCTTGAACCTCCAACTAGATTATCTGCCAGCTCTTTGCAGAATTGTGAAACGTTTAACAACTTGTTGACAGAGTTCCCAGCCTGTTACCAGACATCCCAGGCGGGGGAGGGAGGGGACTGCTGAATCCCAAAGGCCAGGAGCAAACCTAAGGAATGATAGAAGAAATAAAACAAAATGGATACTTACTTTCTTCCTCCACCCCACCTTCGTCCCCATTACGGTTCTCAGCCTCCTACCCATGCTTCTTGGCTTATGTTCCTGGTGGCTTTCTAATTTTAGATGAAAAGGAACTGCGTCTTCTCCTCTGGGCAATTGAGAAACTTGTCCTCACTTCATTCCTTGGTTTTGATTCCAATATACTGTCATGTCTAATTGTTTCTTAATTAACTTGATCCAGAGGGACTCAGTCTGGCTTTTCTCAGTGCACATTCTCCCGAAGTTTGTTTCTTCTGAGGCTACTTCTTGCTCACTTATTTGTTTTCTTAGAGAAAGGGAGGGAGGTAGTTCTGCTTTAAACAATTGGCCCATGGTCCCCCATGACATGGGTTTCGTTGCAGATAGAAGGGTGATGATTGTTGCAAGGTACGCTGGCATGCACTGTCTAAAACTTGCATGCTGTACCAGAGAAGGCATTAAGTATCACAGTGGAGGGCTAAATGTTGAGTTGGTATTTTGGATACGAGTTTTTGGGCTAGAAAGTTTAGGGTGTTGGCCAGCTCACAGTTAGGCTTTGAAGGGAATGGTGGTGGAGTCCACACCACAGGAGTGATTTTGATTTGATAACACAAACCTGGTGTCTGCAATAATGAATATAACTGCAGTGTCTTGTTTTGTTTTAAATTCTTGTGTGCGATGAAGGGGGCGAATCTGTCAGACAACCTATCAATTGGGCTGATGATGTCATTGTTCCAGTGGCTTCTAACAGGCATTAATACCTGTTGGAAATGGATTCTCATTGGCTGGGGCGATTGGTAAGTTTTCTAATTCTGGTTCTTCCACTTGGTTGTACAGAGGCGTAACCTCTTTGTTTAAAAGCAGCAACAACAGGGCTTCCCTGGTGGTGCAGTGGTTGAGAGTCCGCCTGCCAATGCAGGGGACACGGGTTCGTGCCCCGGTCTGGGAAGATCCCACATGCCGCGGAGCGGCTGGGCCTGTAAGCCATGGCCGCTAAGCCTGTGCGTCCAGAGCCTGTGCTCCGCAATGGGAGAGGCCACAACAGTGAGAGGCCCGCGTACCGCAAAAAAAAAAAAAAAAAAAAAAAAGCAACAACGAAAAAAAAAAAAAAAAAAGAGAAGAAAAAAAAATAAGCTGGTCTGACATAATTATGAGCCCCCTGAGCTAGGCTGCTAAAGACACAGTCTCCTTGCCAAGGAGACCCAAGTAGAGTTAGTTCATAATTGGAGCGTCACCTGACTGCTCAGCAGGGAGAACTAACTCCAGGAGGAAGGAGGAAGAGTTTGGCCTCACTGTTGACAGCACATAGACTGGCAGGCTCTATTCTCTCAGATTCTATTAAGTTTGGGCCTCTGGAGGCTTGTCAGAGGAGAGAAGAAGCTTTAAGAAGATTGTGGCAAATGCCTGGGGGAAGGAGCCTCATGGCATAACAGCAGAGAGGACAGTTCATTTTGATATCTTTGGCCTTGAAATTTCTAGTTCTTCTGTTGATGAATAGCAGCCTTTCAGAGAAGTTGCATAGTCTCTTGTACCCTAAACAGTTCTTTGCTATAGGTATGTGGTCATTCCCAAGCTTGCTTTACGTAAGTATTGCCCAACCAGGGCCTTTTTGAAAACATTTAAGCTTGTTGCAGCTAACCAGTAGACCCTGGTATTGGCTTGGGTTTAGCAGTCTTCTAGACCTTGCCCACTCCCACCTGTATGATGGAAATGTAGCATGTTCTTCTAAGACTTGCCTTTACCCCTTCTCTGTAGACACACAAATTGGAAGCCTTACTTCCAAAGATTGAAAAACTTAGGAATTATTTTGGAGGAGATGGAACAACAGCCACAGAATGAAAGATGCAGAGAAACACTAGGTGTGTAGAGTATCAGAAAATGTAGAGATGTGAACACTTCTGAGTTTAAATTATTACATTGTCCGGTCTGAAACCTCGTGGGCTGCAGACTTAGAGCAAAATCTATTTGGAGAAACTCCAATATTTTCTTATGAGTGTGTTGGGTGATACATCTGGAGTGTCCCTTTGAGCAGCTTAACTGGGTTTGTGAACGTCTTCCCAGCAAGCTGTAAGCCAGGACACTTGGCTTCATGGTGGGCTGGAAGCCAAGATGGGCTGAGAAGTGGACACTGTTGTGGATACATTTGTTGATGCTTTTGCTTTGCTTTTGTTTGGATCCACGTGCAACTCCTCTTGTGACTTCCTTCTGCTGAAGGAAGGGAAAAAAGCTTTCTCTTTATTTCTTCCTTCATAGCGCCCAGCACTTAGATCTTTATATTTCTGAACATAGTTGAAAGTCTCTTTCTCTCTGAAGAACTACTTCCTCAGTTATCAGATCTTTTTTTGGCTAGCAGCATTCTCTTAGGAGACCTCAGGGTGGGAAGGTATCACTTTGCTGTCAGTTATCTGTTGGAGCTGGGTAGAAAGATGAATGAAGTGGGTAAAAACGTGGGGCATTCCTAACTCAAGGGCACTGTCCGCTTGAGTAGGAAGGAGGTTAGAGACTGCCCTTGTGGAGATGTTCCCAGGTAGTACTGGTTGATTTGTTCCAGTTGACAGGGTTCCAGAATGGAAAACTGATTTTTCTACTGCCTCACTCGAGGCTGAGAAGAGAGCCCAGGAGCAAGCAGTCAGCACTGGCAGCCTGAGGGACGCTACCACTTCACTGCACGTCTAGGTCGCGCTCTTTGCCGATGCTCTGAGGCCGCCAGTAGCATAGGGGGTTGCTTCTCATCAGGATGGGCTTCGAGCTGGCATGCTCTTGGGAGATGAGCTCCACTCAGGAGCAGAGGAGTATAAAGAGCCAAGTGCCCTGTTTTGCTGCTTCTCAGTTTAGCCTCTGTGAGCAGCTCCGAGCAGTGTTGAGATGTCAGGGCTGTTTGTGTCACAGGAAGATCGTGCTTGCAGACCCAGCTGTTTGAATCCTTCCTTTGGCCATTTCCCCGAGCTATAGTTTGTTTCAACATCGGAACTGCATGCTGTCCCTAGCCAGAAGCGCCACCACACTGAGAAGTGTTTGTCTCCATGCCGTGATTTAGGCTGTTAGGTGGTCTCTTTGTCTCAGCCATGCAGTGAAAATGGCTCAGGAACCAGCAGGCACTGGCCTCCACACTCCCAAATGTCCTCTCTCCAGAGCTTCCTCTTTGGGGTGTTTGTTACCTCTCCTAGGGGACTTGGTGGAATCACAAAGCTGCCTTTCAGAGGGTGTAAGTAGGCAGTAAGAGACAGCAGGCAGGGTCACGTGATTGGATGTGGAATATTTCTGCCCCTGGCCAGTGTCTAACTGGGAGTCTTCTCAGACTAGCCTCAGAACAGACCAAAACATTTCCAAGCCATCAAAAAAGTAAATGGTGAGCCAGCCCTCTTGTCCCAGGGGAAATGAAGTCACTACTCATTTCAGAACCGATCGTAGCCCCGGATGAATGTGTGAAGTGACTCACAAATAAAGCAGAGAGCACGTGTTTGTACCTAATGATATTGTTTAGGGGGGAAAAGTATGTCTTGGTTTTTTTTCTCCTGTTTTTGACAGAGTTATGAGGCCCAGTATTTTTGTGCCATTTCCTGGGACTGCTTCTGTCAGAGTGAAGAGTTCTCACCATCCCCTGCTGGCTGCCCCGTGTCCCCACTCACTTCTCCAGGGTCCCTTCCAGCCTGATAGGATGCAAACTAGCAACGACACGGTCACGTTTTCAGGAGAGAGATTCAGGGTGGAGACACATAAGAGGTATTCAGACAGCAGGTACGCACGTTGTCTTAACTCACTCGGAAAAGAACTTCTTCCCAGTACTTGTTAATTGAAAGAAGCATTGAGATGTGGTGCCTGGTGTGTGGTGATGAGGTATGTGCTTTGAGAGTTCTGTCCAGGAGAAAGACCGGACCGTGCTGGTCCACGCACAGGCTCTTGTCCCCGTGTGAGGTGACTAGCAAGGTTGAGTTCCTTCTGGGACTGGATCGGCAGAGTTGACCTGGTGAGTGGATCCCAGCCTAGTGCCAGGATATGCAAGTCTGCAGGTTTTCTCCTTTGGTTCTTAAATTCTACTCAGGCTCTCCCGCTCTGCAGCCTCCAGGATTCATTCATTTATGCACTTAACAAGCATATATCGGGCACTTGCTGTGTGCCAGGTTGTGGGGTGGGTGGGTGGGGGGTGCATCACTAAGTAAGGCAGAGAGAAGTCCCTGCCTTTAGGAAGCTTACATCTTAGTGGGAGACAGTAAGGCTAACTAGTAGATACTAGACAATGAGAAGTGCTAAGGGGAAAAACCAAAGAGAGGACGGGAGAAGTGAGAGGAGCGGTTTACATAGGGTGGTCCGGGAGGGTAGTCTGAGTAAAACCCTGAAGGAAAGGAGGGATTGAGCCAGGCTCAGTCTGGGGAGGGGGTGGTGAGAACTCAAGCAGAGAGAACAGCAAGTACAGAGTCCCTGAAGAGGGGCCATACCTGGCATGTTCAGGAACAGCAGGGAGGCCAGCGTGGCTGAAGCGGTGAATGAGGGAGAGTGACGGGGAGAAGTCAGAGAGGTCACATGGGCCCCTTATGTGTCACGGTGTGGGCTTTGACTGGGAGACGGAATGTACTGGGGGCTCTGAGCAGAGGAGTAACATGATTTCATTTAAGTTTGATGGATCTCTGGATGCGTGTTGAGAATAAACCAGCAGGGACAAGGTCAGAAGCCCAGCTAGGAGGCTTTCGCAGTTATCCAAGTGAGAGGTGATGGGGACATGAACCTGGTTGTTAACAAGAAGTGGTTGTGAAAGCAATCAGATTGTGAACATATTTTGAGGGTAGAGCCGAAAGTGTTTACTGACAAGTGTAGAGTGGAAAAAAGAAGGGTCGAGGATGACTCCCAAGGTTTTAGGGCTGAACAGCTGAAAGGATGGAGTTCTATTCACTGCCGTGGGGAAGTCAGAAGAAGGCGCAGAATTAGGGAGATAACAGGAGCTCTGTCTGGGGCTAGGTAGATTTGAGTTGCTTATTAGTACCTCCAAGTGGAGATGTCAGTAGGCAGTGAGATATACAAGTCTGAAGATATAAGTTTGGGAGTCGTCATTATATAGAACCTGTATATATTATTGGTTTCTAAAGCTCTGAGACTAGATGAAATCCCCCAGCAAATATGTGTAGACAGAAGAAAAATAGGCCCCAAGACTGAGCCCTGGAGCAGCCCAACCATTTAGAGTTTGAGACAAGGACCCAGCAAAGGAGTCTTAGAAGAAGCAGCTGGAGAGGTAGGAGGCCACCCTACAAGCCAAGTGAAGAAAGTGTTTCAAGATAAGAGGGGCCAGCTGTCAGATCAACACCAGCTGAGGTCTAAGAATTAACCATCGGACTTGGCAACGTGGAGGTCACTGGTCGTGGGAGCAGTGTTTGTGGTGTGGATGGGAGGGGGCAAGCTAGCTGGAACAGGTTCAAGAAAGACTAGCAGGAGAGAAATGAGGGACAGCAAGTATGGGTGACCCTTGCAAGGAGTTTTGCTTGAAAAGGAGAGAAATAATGGATCTTGGCTTATAAAGGGAATTTTAACTTCTTGATGAAATTGTGGACTCACATCAGGGCTGAGGCTGGGGGTCAAAGTTGGGAACAGGGAAGACAGGATGGCTCAATAACTGGGTGGAGACAAGATCTCCATTCTTTAGCCTGTGGCATTAGCCACACCCAGAACTGTTCTCGTTTCGTGAAAAGTCAATGAAATTCCTTTTACTGTTAGGAGCTCTTTATATGGTTAGTATAGTTGTTGGAGATTTGCTTCTCAGAAATGCTCAGAACAATTTGGAGTCTTTCTTGATCCTTTCTCCAGCTAAGCTGATTCTCTAAGCCCATTTGTCAGCTCCCTTTGAGGTCCAACTTTGTTCTCTAAAACCAGCTGTGGCTTGCTTTTCCCTCACCAGCTCTGAATTCTTCCAGGCTAGGCAACTGGAAAAGACTGGGCTTAGGAACGGTTTTGTTGGCTTCAGGCCCAACTGAGCTGACCAAAATAGCCAACAGGAGAACTGTCTACACAGAGTGAAATTCCTCCAGGGGAAATACCATAGCAGACAGCCAAGATGGCCATAGCCAGGGTGGTGGGACCCCACGAGGCAATAAAAACCTAGTACCCCCAGGCCTGGCTGTGGAGTTTGAGCCAAGTTCTTTCCCAGAGCCTGCTGTTGTGGTATTTCTTTGGATCCCTTCTCTCTCAGCCCCTGTCTCAAGAGTAGTATTCTCAAGTGAAAGACCAGTGGAACAGCCCCTAGTCTGATGGCCAGGGCTCTGGGGTCCCACCTGAGGCCTCTTCCTGTTACGTGGTGCTTGCTCCCTGAGTCAGCCTATGGAGAGAGCCCTAGAACAGAGCTGCACTCCCTGCTCCGTCATGGGGGGTGGGGAGAGTTCTGTGAGGGGTGCCATGGGGCATATACACTGGCACAGAGCAGGGGCACTTGCCCCAGACTTGGGGAGCAGGAGGGAAGGTGTCAGGAGAGTTATAAATGAGCTCTGAAGAGGGACCGGAGGTGGCCAGACAAATGGGAGCAACTGTGCTTAGGCTCCGAGTGAGAGGACACGTTGTAGTTCCAGAAATGGAAAAAACTGAAGTGTTTGTCCGGAGGGCTGGAAGGGCAAGAGATAAAGTAGGAGAGGGGGAGGTGCAGGGAGGGAGGGGGCGGCTTGTTTTGGCCTTTATAAGGTTATCTTAAAATCCTTTGGAAGCTATTGAAGGATTTAATCTGGGGAGTAACTGTGTGGGATTTACATTTTAAAAGAGTCTTCAGACCAGTTGGTGGAGGCTGGATAAGAGGTGGCTAGGCCAGAGGCTGGGAAGCCATTTTGAAGACTTTGGGCCGAAAGTGGTTAACCAGCATAATGCAGATGGAGAGAGGTTTGTATTTAGGAGGTAGACCCAGGAGGACTTAATGACTGAACGGTGATGAGGATGGCGTTCAGGTTTCCTTGTGACTGAGAGGCTGGTTTAACCAAAAATATTCATCATTCATTCAGCCTGCAGGCACTGAAGTGTCGCTGTGCTGTGTTAGGTTTGATGTAGCAGTTCAGCGGTGAAGACAGACCTGGGCCACCCTTCCATGAGTGTGGAAGAGAGACATTAAGCCCATGATTATTTAATGGGTGGTGAGTTACCAAAGGAGTTAACCTCATCTCAGGGATCCTGGAAGGCCTCTCTGAGGAAATGACATACCTGTTACATTACATAGTGGGCTCTTGGGGAGAAAAAAAAAACCTGCCTGAGACCTGAAGGGTGAGTAGGTAGGTATTAGCTAGTGAAGAGAGAAGAGAGCTCTAAGCAAGGAAAGGGCAGCGGCAGAGATGGAGGCTCTTCAAGGATCTGGAAGGAGGCCCGTGGTGGCTGGGGGTGAGAAAGCTGGGGAGAGAATGGGCAAAGGTGACAGCACAGTGTTGGAAGTTCTGTGGCCAGCCCAAGTGGAAGGCCCACAGAGGGCTGGATGTACTGGTCCGCCACTCAGAGGGCAGATGTAGGCAGTTCATAGACCTGGGGTCATCAGCCTGTGGAAGGTACCTGAAGCCACGTGAGTGGGCACAGTCACTCATGGAATGGGTGTTGGGTGAGAAAGATGATGTTGAGGAACATCCGTATTGCAGGGGTGGCAAAAGGAAGAGGAGCCCACAAAGGGAAGAGTTGGCCGGAGAGGTAGGAGAAAATCCATGAGGATTTCAAAGAGGAGGGAATCGTCAACGGGTCAGAAACTGCTGAAGGGGTCAGTTGGATTTAACAATGAGGAGGTCCCTCGTGACCTGGGCAAGTGCAGTGTCAGTAGAGAGCTGGGGTGAAAGTCCAAGTGAGAGAGGAGGGGGTAGCAAAGTGCTGGCAGCTTTTCCACTAAAAGCTGAGAAGGGAGGAAGCTGTAGCTGGAGGGACGGAGGTGGAACTGAACGATCTGTATGTACCTCAAAAGCCGGGACACTCAGGGGATGCTTTTTCCCTGGTTTTGGAATTAAATTGGCTTCTAGCATGGGGAAAAGGAAAGTCAGGTGTGGTCCTATCAGGCACTGGACACCCCCCAACCCCTGTCTGGAAGCCGTGTTTGATAGCCTTGGAAATTTTTCTTGCAGCTTAAGAGAGCTAACTGTTGCTTATGTAGTAAATCACCGTAAAACTTCACGAGCCAGGGGACTGTTGAGAAGGTTTTAGCCAACCCAAATTAATGAAAGTCTGAATGATAGCACTCTGAAGGAAATGCAGCCTTTCCTTCCAAGAATATGCAATAACCCCACTCACCAACCTTGCTAAATGTAGGTTTCAGTGAGCAGATATAAACTGCTGTTAAAAGCAAATGGTACCATTGAAACAGTGGCAGTGGTATAAAACAGTTCCCTAACTATGCCTTAGAGTCCCTTTGCAGGCTTCATACACTATTTAGCCTCGCTTTGAATAGTATGAAGGAAAAGCTAAGCACGGTTTATGTCCAAATTATACATTTTAAATATAAGGCTCCAAATTAATGAGGTTCTCAAGTACCTTTGAATATAGTCCTGCAGTTAGGCATCTATGCTACTTCTTAATCACTGTTCATTTCCAAACACCAACTGGAAATGCTGCTTTTCCCTTTCATGGGTAATCCCAGAATATAATTCTGCAGTGGCAGGGAGATTAGTCGCTCTTTTGGTTGCCCAGGTCCACAGCCCAGGGGCCACAAAACTCTGAGTGACTCTAGGAGAGAGACTTAAAACCACTGGTTTGAGATCTGGAGGAGTATTTCAGGGGCCAGCGGGGAAGGCAAATGAAACCAACCAAGATGGTGTGGGTGGAACGCCCACAGTCTGCAAGGGCATCAAGACTCTGCTGTAACTTTTTTTTTTTTTACAAAGTTTATTTATTTTTTTAATTTTATTCATTTATTTATTGATTTTTGGCTGCGTTGGGTCTTCATTGCTTTGCATGGGCTTTCTCTAGTTGTGGTGAGCGGGGGCTATTCCTCATTGCGGTGTGCGGACTTCTCATTGTTGTGGCTTCTCTTGTTGCGGAGCACGGGCTCTCGGCATGCGGGCTTCAGTAGTTGCAGCACGTGGGCTCAGTAGTTGTGGCTCGCAGGCTCTAGAGCACAGGCTCAGTAGTTGTGGTGCACGGGCTTAGTTGCTCCGAGGCATGTGGGATCTTCCTGGGCCAGGGCTCGAACCCGTGTCCCCTGCATTGGCAGGTGGATTCTTAACCACTGCGCCACCAGGGAAGTCCCTGCTGTAACTTATTAACTGAAGAGCCTCTTAGCCCAGCCCAGTCTCCAGACAGTTTGAGTCCAGGGTGATAATGCCTGCAGGGGGAGAGAGGGAGATAGGAAAGGGAGGTGAATAAGCACTGGGCCAGTTTTCATTTTTTTTGCACTCTGTCCTCTTCTAGTGTCCTTCAGTTTCATAACAGGGGATGTCTGAGGGAGAGTCATTCACCATTTTTAGCTAAGTGAACCTAAGCCCAGGGGGGCCTTCTGGGAGAGGCCCTGCCTTCCCTTCCCAGTCCTGTCGGCAGCTCACTCATCTTGTGTTTTTATCGGCAACATGGTTGGAGGATTATAAACAAGTTTAAATTCTCAAACAAGATCATTTAGTCCAACTTCCCACCCCATCTAGACATCCCATCTCTGACAGAGACACGCATCCTGTCTCTGGCTAAATGATTTCAGAGAAGGGAGAACATTACCTCAGGAGACAACTGATTCCATCTTTTGAAAGTTGTCCCCTCTAATAAACCGAAATTTCCACCCCAAAGTCTACCCATTGAACGCATGTATGGAATAAACACCCTCGTGGGCATCGCTCCTCTGGCGCCCTGGTCACCACCATGGCTGCCCTCCTCTGAACGAGCTCCATTTGAAAATCCCCCTTTCAAAATGTCCCTCAGGACGGAACCTGACACTCCAGATGGGGCCCGGGTGCAGAGCAGATGAGGACTATTATTTTCTTCTATGATTGAACTTTTGGAAATTCAGTCCAAGATTGCAGGAGCTTTTTCGGCCACCACATCTAGATTCTAACTGCTTCCCATTTAACTTTGAGTCAAAACCACTGGGGCTTTTTCTCATGAGAACCGCTATTAAGCTCTGTCTTCCTCTCCTATATGCATGATTTTTTTTTTTTTTTTTGCTTAACCCAAGTGCAGTGTTTACTCAGCTTCAAAGTTTAAACCACCATTTATTGATAACCCCCTGTGTGCTCAGTGTTTTTCATATTACTGACGCCTCCTAGAATCCTATAAGGGTGACATTACCTCTGTTTTACAGACGGTGCACTGAGGCTGGGAGAGGAATGCCCCAGCGATCCCACAGTCTGCATTCTCATTTCGGTCTGGAGCCTCATGCTGTTAAGCACTGCACATACCAGTTTTTTAAGATCTCTTTGAACCCTAATACAGACACCCATTGTGTTTACAGTCCTCAGTTTTGTGACATCCATAAAGTTAATTTGCCTTCTAGGTCTTTTGCATGGTTTCCCAAACTTGGGTGGTGGAGAGACTGCTTTGAAGCCGTGTTTTCCAGCCTGTAGGGCACAAAACCAATTTAGTGAGTCACAACTGGCATTTTAAAAAATGAAATAGAGTAGAAAAATACCAAAGCCCATGACATGTAGCAAGGGCAAATTTTGTTTCAGGAAATTCTTATTACATCAGCACAGGACAGGGAAGTGTGTGTGGGGGTGCATATGCGTACACTGGGTCTTGATGTAAATTGTTTTTATGACTGTGGTTCATGGTCTAAACAGTCTGAACACTGCTCTAAAGGGAAAATGTTTTTCAGTCAACTTAGATTGTTTTCATTATAAGGCTGCAGCCTTAATTATGTATGCGCATAAATCTGTTTATCAACTCATAGATCTAGTTCCTGTAAAATTTAATTAAATAACTACAGAAAAGCCAATAAAACTCAAATCAACAACATCATTTTGGGAGGAAAACAGTTGACTGAACCCAAATTGCTGCTGTCAGCGTAAGCGCAGCACAGACTTGACATCCGGGCTCCTTGAGTTCCGCATGCCCACCCTGCAGTGTCTAGTGCCCAGCAGCATAGTCTTTCCAGGCTTCTGAAGAGCCGTCATTCCTCACTTTGCACAGATGTATCATGAATTACATGTGCAGAATTGAGTTGTCTTAATTAGCCCATGTAGTTAGAGTGGTGCCACTTGGTACCAGTACAGTTGTAAACACACACACAGGCCCAGAAATGTGCAAATCTTGGTTAAGCAGCAGTTACCCAGCGATCTGTAGTATATGTTCATTTTTAAAAGATGATCATCACGGTGAAAACACAAGAATAAAACATTCTGGTAGAGAAAGCACGAACCTCCGAGGAGAAGCCTGCATATCCTGGTCCTGGCATGCACCCGTAGTTTTAGACCCTGGTTGACACCGTAGCAGCAAACTGCTCAGGATGACCTGGGTCTCAGCACTTAGGTGGAGGCACGTTCAGCTTAGCCCCCAAACCAGACTATCATCCTGCCTGCAGTTCTTTTCCTTCTCGTTCCTAAGAATACTATGAACGTTTCAGTCAGATGCCTTGTTGTTATAAAGTACACAGTGTATACCATTCTCTTGATGTAGCCAACCAAAACCCCCAAAAAAGAAACAGGTTTGTTCAGCATGACTTGTTTTTGGCAACCCCACGCTTATTCTTTGTGATCACGGCTTCCTTACCTCAGTAATTGTAGTTGCTGTTCAGTCATTTGTTCTAGGATTTTGCTAAGGATCAGTGTCTGTAATATTTCAGGATCCACATATACGATTTTGCCCAGAGCTTTCCTCTGGCTCCTCAAACAGTTTGCAGGTGTGCCTGCAAAGTGTCTCCCTACTCTGGAGTGCAGTTCATGTGGCCTTAGGGCCTGGAAACCATTTAAGGCTTTGATGAGCCTACTGTACTTACCTGTCCTGGGCTGCAGTTCCCGCTTTACCTTTTCTTTACCTTTCCCATTTAAGAGTCACTCCCCCAAAGAGAGAAGCCAGAGGCAGCTGAAACGTGAGCGGTTCCCCTTCTTCCTGACCTCTGTCTTCTTCCTGCCAGATGCCCAGCAGGGGCTCCATGCCTGAGTCATTCTGCCTCTTCCAGTCTCTGAGTAATACCCTTCTTGTTTCGGTACCTCCTGAAACCTACTTTCCAAAGGTCTAAGATACAAGTCTGACTCTCTGCCTGGTGTTCTTTTCCTTAGTGATTTATAAATTATAAGATGGCTTAGATCCTTTCCCCCCAAATTCTCCTGATTTCCAGTTTACTTGTATTTCTCTTAGATCAGACTTAAGTTCAGAGTAGAGATTCCTTTCGTTACTTCCTCAACGTTCTTTATTTTCCTTTATTTAAAACAAGTATAGTAGAGTGTATTCGTTGTGGGGAAAATGAGAAAATACAGAAAAACAGAGGGAAAAATTCTTTAAGTGAAGAAAAAACCTACCACCAGGAGATAATGGCTTTTAACATTTTAGCCCCTTTTTGTTTTTAGACTTTTTCCTGCTATATTCATATGTAGAAATATATTCACATTTAAGGAAAAATAGGATTTATTATATTTTCATTCTCATTATATTCAGTTATTAGCTCTCCTAATCTCGGTGATACCTATGGGGCCATGCCTGTTGTCCTATGTAAAACTGTGAATTCATTTAAAGTAATTCCCTGTGTGCTATCTATAATCTATACCTGGGCCATTGTGCTTATGTGGTGAAAGCTGAGCACAAAGCGCTCAACACTTTTGCATGGAGTGGGTGTGTCCTCCTCGACAGGGATCCTGGCCCCGAGATGCTTCTTTCCCAGGCTGGCTTGGCATCTGGCTACGGCAGGAGTGAGCAGGAAGCCTGGGTCAGAGCCACAGGATTAGCTGGGGGCTTCCCCTGCCCACCGTATAGGGGTTCCAGTCTAGCTGGGGAGAGTCAGCAGTACCCGGCAGAGAGGGCTCCATTAGGTGGTACAGCGTAGTTACTGAAGCCAGTGTTATTATAATCTCGGTATCTTCACGTTATCCTAGACTTTATGACGGTTGGAGGAGACGGTCCAGGCAGGACCCGCTATCCTCACAGCCTCAGGTGGCTGAGTCTGAGAAAGGGAGAAGGTCATCTACTGAAAGAGTTGTAGGGCTGCTAACCTTGAGTGGGGAAGTGTGGGGAAAGGTCATTAACCTCTCATGGGGAGGCAGCCCAAATAGAGGCAAAAAGAAAATCTGAGGCAAGGGGACTTGGGTTCTTTTCGGGCATCACGGGTATTACTCTATCTCTTTTCTTCCAACAGATCCACAGACCAGCATGGCTGCCACTGCCGCTGTCAGTCCCAGTGACTACCTGCAGCCTGCCGCCTCCACCACCCAGGCGAGTGGGCAGTGGGCTCTGAGGGTTGGGGGCTGCATCAGCCTGGAAGGACTCACTGAAGCTGACATGAGACCGCATCTGAGCTCTGCCCTGGCTAACTATAATTCCCCGAGGCAATGAGACCAGGGAGGGTTCAGTTTTCCACTTTTTCTGAACTAAGAAACTAGGGCCACTCATCTAAGGTGCCACAGTTGAGTCAGGGGGAAAAGCAGGATGAAACTCAAGTCCTTTCCTCCAGACCCCACTGGCCATAAAAGGAAAACAGAGACTGTGTCCCCGCACCCTGGAGGCTCTTTCCTTGTAGCTTCAAAAGAACAGCCCTCCTTGATCAAAAAAGTCATGTCCCAAGCACTGGAAAACACTCTTCCAAAGGGTTTATTCCTCCTGTCCCCCTCCCTTTCTTTTTCCCTCCCTCCCTTCCTCAGTCCTTCCTCACTTGATGACTCAGTAAGGTGAGCTAACGGAGCTCCATCTATAAGCTGAGGGTGATTCCGTGTCCCCATTAGACACTAATAGACCAGTGGGGAGTAAGCGGTCAGCCCATGCTGTTAGTTCACCCTGTCAAGGGGTGCTTCTGGGGAGTTCCTTCCTGAGAAAGACATTTCTCACCCTTTCTCCCTTAATTTCTCAATGGAGAAACCAGCGGGGAAGGGGAGACAGGGGCCACTGCCCGGAGAGGATGCTGGCTCCCTGCCTGCCGGTGGGGAGGAGCCTGCGAAGAGGAGAGGATCTTAAAGGGTGGGGCGGCTGGGCAGCAGACCTCCTGTCTCACTCCTTTTCTCCACGTGGTGTTTTGCAGGACTCGCAGCCATCTCCCTTAGCCCTGCTTGCTGCAACATGTAGCAAAATTGGCCCTCCGGCTGTTGAAGCTGCAGTGACGCCTCCTGCTCCCCCGCAACCCGCACCTCGGAAACTCGTCCCTATCAAACCTGCCCCTCTCCCTCTCAGTCCCGGCAAGAATAGCTTTGGAATCTTGTCCTCCAAAGGAAACATACTTCAGATTCAGGGGTCACAGCTGAGCGCGTCCTATCCTGGTGGGCAGCTGGTGTTCGCTATCCAGAACCCAACCATGATCAACAAAGGGACCCGATCGAATGCCAGTATCCAGTACCAGACGGTCCCTCAGATTCAGGCGAGCAATTCTCAGACCATCCAGGTACAGCCCAATCTCACCAACCAGATCCAGATCATCCCTGGCACCAACCAAGCCATCATCACCCCCTCACCATCCAGTCACAAGCCTGTCCCCATCAAGCCAGCCCCTGTCCAGAAGTCGAGTACGACCACCACTCCGGTGCAGAGCGCGGCCAGTGTGGTGAAGCTGACAGGTGGAGGGGGCAATGTGACACTTACTCTGCCTGTCAACAACCTCGTGAACACCAGCGACACCGGGGCCCCTGCTCAGCTCCTCACGGAGAGCCCCCCGGCCCCGTTGTCTAAGACTAACAAGAAAGCCAGGAAGAAGAGTCTTCCTGCCTCCCAGACCCCCGTGGCCGTGACCGAACAGGTGGAGACGGTGCTGATCGAGACCACGGCGGACAACATCATCCAGGCAGGAAACAACCTGCTCATCGTTCAGAGCCCTGGTGGGGGCCAGCCCGCTGTGGTCCAGCAGGTCCAGGTGGTGCCCCCCAAGGCCGAGCAGCAGCAGGTAGTGCAGATCCCCCAGCAGGCCCTGCGGGTGGTGCAGGCGGCATCCGCCACACTCCCCACCGTCCCCCAGAAGCCCTCCCAGAACTTTCAGATCCAGGCTGCTGAGCCGTCGCCTACTCAGGTACCACGCACACCCTCTGCACGCGCCTCCCTCTCCTCCTCAGCTCTAAACGGCTGATGCTCCATCCCCATCGGCTTGCTTTCCTAGATGATGCTGATGCATCTCCTGATCTGACCTGAGTGTTGGGAGTCAGTACTGTTTGGGGTGGGTAATAAGTGACCATTTCTGCCAGTTCATAGGGCCACGTACTGCTTATCTTTAGAAATCAGATGCGACATGCCTATGTACCTATATTTTGGAAACTTTCTTTATGGGAGTCTTTTGGCAGGGGGATGAGTAGCAGGCAGATACATACTTTTTAATAATAAAGTTTATTTTTTATTCTAGAATTACATACTCCGAATGATAGCAAGAATGAAAAAATTCTAGTCAGAACCATAGAATTTGATGTAAAGTAAGAAAACCAATGAGAAAAATGCTGATCATTGTTAATGACAAAAAAAAAAAAAAAATTAGGAAGAAGCACCCTAGCTTCATAGCAGGGACATTTAGGATAGATTCTTCTGGGATGCTAACTTCAACAGGAACTTATTTTTGGCATTCATTAAGGTGCTGTAATACTAAAATTTATTTGGCTTTGCAGGGCAGGTTTTATGCTTTGTATAAGCCTAGTAAATGCCAGAGATTAGGCCCATGTTGAAGATGGAGAACCTGGAACTCAGAGAAGTTACCCAGTATCCAGCTCTCATGGAGCCCAAATGACAAAAGAGCCAGGATTCAACTCAGATTTCTGACCTACACTTTTGTCCTTACTCCACCCTGGCCCACCCTGGCTCTTGTGTGTGGCAGGGGCTACACTTAAAATTGTACAAGGATTTTTTTAAATATAAAAACCAGCTCCTGCCATGGAGAAATTTACAATCCAGCTGTCTGTAGAGAGAACCGAGGCGTCAGAGTGAGTGACGGAAGTAGGGAGTTGTGTAGTCTCCCAGGTGGAGAAGTGCCCTTGAGTTTGAGCTGTGGACATAACGGATGCACAGGAAATCTGAGGCCTGCCCTCAAGTGCCTCCTCCTTTCTGGCATATTGCATACTGCCAAGGGGTTTTCTATGAATCGTGTAATTTGTTACAACACGTGTGAGGCTCCCTTATCAGACCTACCTTAAAGGTGAAGAACTGAGGGATACCCGCTAGCTCCTCTCTCGCAGTGCCTCCCCTCCCTTCCCTGAGGTCCTGTGTCTGGAGACTGATGGAGGCAGGGCTTAAAACTAGGTCTTCCTAAGGAAATAAGCATACGTATGCAGAAAGATTTTGCTACTGCATTACTTTGTAATGATGACATAGTTTTCCAGTATCTGGAGGTGCTTTCTGTTACCCAGCTGTAGATTTAGGCTGTTTCTAATCTTATCGCTAAATAAATTCCTAAAAGTGGGTCAAAGGATCTGCACGTTTTAAAAAATGTATTATACCCTGTATCAGAGAAATTGGCAATCCTCAGGCCTGAGGTCAAATCTGGCCCATCTATCTGTTTTTGTAAATAAAGTGTAATTGGAACACAGGCATGCCCATTTGTGCGGCTTTTGCACTACAAAGCAGAGACCTCGTGACCTGCATAGCCTAAAATATTTACTCTCTGCCCTTTACAGATAAAGTGTGTTGACCTCTGCTCTACATTGTGGGAAAGAAAATGTTCTAGTAACAGAAACTTCAGATATGCAGGAAATAGCAATGATTTGCAAAAGGGGCACATACCAGAAAATTGAGGATGAAATGTGTATTTATTAAGAGATAACATGAGGTTTGTTTGTTTGCTTTTAACTGAGAACCACAGTCCCAAATAATCCAAGGATCAAAAATAACCCCAATCAAAATCACAGTAGAATTTTTTTTTAAACAAGTGACTTTTCCCCCTGTATCATTTGAGTGTAAGTTGCCACCATGCCTCTGTTACTTCCAAGTGTTTTATAGAAAGTGTGTAATTCTTATACGCAAGGAGGACAACAGCACAACCTTCAGACATAGGCAGTTAGCAAGGAAACACACTGACGTCTAATTCAGAGACCCCATTCAGGTTGCTCATCACTTGCCGCAACGATTCCTTTGTGGCAAAAGGATGTCATCCAGTATCACACATTCCATTTACTTGTCATGTCATCTTAGTCTGTTTTGACCTGGAATAGTTCCTCAGTCTTTACTTGATGTTCATGACCATGACACTTTAAAAGGCCAGTTACTTTGTAGAGTGTTCCTCAGTTTAGGTTTGTGTGATGTTCCCTCATGGATAGATGCAAGTTGTACACTGTTTTTTGCAGAAGTATCAAAGAAGTGATGCTGTGTTCTCGCTGCATCCCAAAAGGAGATGCATGGTTCCGATTTGTCTCAGTATCTCAGTACTGGTGACGATTAAAGTGAAATTTAGCGGGTTTCTGAACCTTAAAGTTACTTTTTTTCTCTTTGTAATGGATTAGTATTTTGTAAGGAGATACTTTCTGTGTAAATATCTCATTCCTCATCAGACTTTCGCCTGCTTATTTTAGTAGCTTTTACTGTGTTAGAGATTTTTTTTTTTTTTGGCCAGACTGCAAGGCATGTTGGATCTTAGTTCCCCGACCAGGGATCGAACCCCAGCCCCTTGCAGTGGAAGCACAGAGTCTTAACCACTGGACCGCCAGGGAATTCCTGTAACTTATTCTAAAATAAAAAGTTAATTTTAAAAAATCTCTTATCATGGGACTTCCCTGGCGGTCCAGTGGTTAAGACGCTGTGCTTCCACCACAGGGGGCCTGGTTTCGATCCCTGGTTAGTGAACTAAGATCCAACATGCCTTGCTGTGCGTCCAAAAAAGTTACATTTACAGAAAGGTTGCAAAGGTAGTACAGAGTGTCTTATACCTCTGACCTTGTCCCCCACCACCACCTTGTTAAACATCTTACATACCAGGGTGCAGGTGTCAAAACTAAGAAACTGACATTAGCATGTTACTGTTCACTAAACTCCAGACTTGATTGGATGTCACCATCCAATCAATTAATCAGTTATGTCCTCTTTCTGCTCCAGGATCCCGTCCAAATACCACATTGCACTTGTGGGCATGTCTCCCCAGGCCCCTCTGGTTGGATAGCTTCTTAGTCTTTGTTTTCCATGATCTTGACAGACTAGAGGCACATTGGTCAGGTATCCTATAGAATATCCCCCAGGCTGGATTATGGGTTTTTGGAAAGAATACCACGGAGGTGAAACGCCTCTTTTCATCACATTATATGAGGGGTACATGATGTCCACACAACATCTCTGATGATGTAACATCCCTGATGTTAACCATTGTCACTTGGTTAAGGTGGTGTCTGCCAGGTTTCTTCATTCATCAAAGCTGCTACTTTTCCCTTTCTCGATTCTTTGGAAGTAAGTTACTAAGTCTCCCATCGTCAGGGGTGGGAGTGGGGGTGAGAATTAAGCTCTACATCCTGGAAGGGAAGGTATCTATATAATATTATTTGGAATTCTTCTATAAGGAAGATTTGTCTCTTTTCCATTTATTCATTTATTTATTTATTTTTGGCTGTGTTGGGTCTTCGTTGCTGTGCACAGGCTTTCTCTGGTTGTGGCGAGCAGGGGCTACCACGGGCTCTAGGCATGCGGGCTTTAGTAGTTGCAGCATGTGGGCTCAGTAGTTGTGGCTCGTGGGCTCTAGAGCACAGGCTCAGGAGTTGTGGGCACGGGCTTAGTTGCTCCATGGCACGTGGGATCTTCCCAGACCAGGGCTCGAACCCGTGTCCCCTGCCTTGGCAGGCGGATTCTTAACCACTGTGCCACCAGGGAGGTCCCACCATTTATTTTTTTATTCGATCATGTATTTATGTCAGTAGAGACTCATGTATATTTATTTTATACTTTGGGGTACAATCCAATACTGCGTTATTTATTTTGTTGCTCACATTGTTTCAACTCTGGCCATTTGGAGCTCTTTCTGGTTGGCTCTTGCATCTGTGTGACATACTCCCAGTCTTTTTTTTTTCTTATCAGCTTTTTTAAAAAATAAATTTATTTAAATTTTATTTATTTATTTTTGGCTGCATTGGGTCTTCGTTGCAGTGCACGTGCTTCTCATTGCGGTGGCTTCTCTTGTTTTGGAGCACGGGCTCTAGGTGTGCGGGCTTCAGTAGTTGTGGCACGCGGGCTCAGTAGTTGTGGCACACAGGCTTAGTTGCTCCACAGGTTGTGGGATCTTCCTGGACCAGGGGTCTAACCCGTGTCCCCTGCCTTGGCAAGCGCATTCTTAACCACTGTGTCACCAGGGAAGTCCCCTTTTCAGCTTTATTGAGGTATTCGCATACCGTGAAATTTACCCTTTTAAAGTGTACAACGCAGTGGGTGGGTTTTAGTATACTCATGGAGTTATGCAGCCATCACCACTATCTAGTTTTAGAACATTTTCATCACCTCAGAAAGACCCCTTTAGTGGTCACTCCTCATTTCCCCCTTGCCCCAAGCCCTGGCAACCACTAATCCATTTTCTTTTTAAAATAAATTTATGTATTTATTTTTATTTTTGGCTGTGTTGGGTCTTCATTGCTGCACGTGGGCTTTCTCTAGTTGCAGCGAGCGGGGGCTACTCTTTGTTGCAGTGCTCAGGCTTCTCATTGCGATGGCTTCTCTTGTTGCAGAGCATGGGCTCTAGGCACATGGGCTCCGTAGCTGTGGCGCTCTAAAGCGCAGGCTCAGCAGTGGTGGCACATGGGCTTAGTTGCTCCACGGCATGTGGGATCTTCCTGGACCAGGGCTCGAACCCGTGTCTCCTGCACTTGCAGGCGGATTCTTAACCAGTGCGCCACCAGGGAAGCCCTAATCCATTTTCTATCTCTATAGATTTGCCTATTCTGGACATTTCATGTAAATGGAATCTTACCATAGGTGATCTTTTGCAGCTAGCTTCTTTCACTTACTACACCGTTTTCTGAGTTCATCCATGCTGTAGCAAGTGTCAGTACTTCATTCCTTGTATTTTCCCAGCCCCAGTCCTGGGATCAACCATTTGTCCTAGGAATCCTTGTTCCTTTTATTGGAGGATGTGATAACAGTTTTTTAAATTCTATCATTTTCTTCTCCATTTGTTTATTTATGTCAGTATGGATTCATAGGTTCCTGTTTTATTCACTGAGTTATAATCCATTAGTATTGTTATTTTGATGTTCAAATTATCCTATGTTTAGCCAGTGGGAGCCCCTCCAAGCTGGCTCTTGTGTTCTTTTCACATGTCACCACCATTCTTTGAGCATTTCCTTACTTTCTGGTATAAGAGGTGTTCCAAGGTCTTCTTGTACTTCCGTTGACCAAAGTCCTCGAATCAGCTATTTCTCCAAGGAGCCCTGGTTTCTTTTAGTGGAACATGGGATTTAGAAGCTAAGAGCTGGGTGCTAGGTGAGCTCATTGCTCCTGGAGTTTTGCTGCTTTCAGCCTTTCTCAGTGGACACAGTTAAGAAGTATATATAAATATACCTATACATATATCTGTAATACCAAGATAGATACAGAAATGCACACACATATATACATACACTTATATTTATATTTCTCTATTTATATTGAAACCTAAGAGTTTCCATCAATACCTCTAATCCCCATCCAGTACCACACGGTTCATTCTCGTTCTCAGGCTCTAATATGCATATTTTTAAAGGCTTTGGACACATATTCCCAGATTTCCCTCCAGCAGGCCTAGACCACTTCACACCCCCTGACGTAAGAACATGTGCCTATTTCCCTACTGTCTCAGCAACAGTGAGCATTATGTTTCATTGTTCCATCTTTGTTAGTATAAATTGGAGAAAGACAGTAGTTTCTCCACTAATTGTGCCTCCTAACGGCTGTTTTCATTTCTTTGATGAGCATTCACAGCGCATCTTTTGTGAGGTCATCATTTACCTGCCATCTAATTCTTCAATTCGGAGATTTGGCATTATATTTTTCCATGCTAAGTAAATTAAATGTTTTGTTTCAAATCAACAGTCGGCATTTGTCAGCTTAGTACAGGGATGCCATCAGCCCTTTTTGTTGAACATCAGCAGTGGGTGAATGTAGGCCTGGGCTAGTTGGAGAAGACTTGGGTGGACAAAAAGGCACCCGCTTCTCCCTTGGGCAGGGAGATGATGCTGCATTGAAAGGGGGCAGGAGGGCTTCCCTGGTGGCGCAGTGGTTGGGAGTCCACCTGCCAATGCAGGGGACACGACAAGAGTGTTATACCAGGGAATGGATGATATAAACATTCTTTAATGCAAAAAAAAGGGGGGGGCAGGAGCCAGGGCTCTCAGGGGGCATTGACTTTTTCTCTCTGGCCCCTCCCAGGTCTATATCCGTACACCTTCTGGTGAGGTACAGACGGTCCTTGTCCAGGATGGCCCCCCAGCAACAGCTGTGACCACCTCCACCACCACTTGTAGCAGCCCTCCATCCCGTGCTGCTCATCTAAGCGGGACCAGCAAAAAGCACTCGGCTGCAATTCTCCGGAAAGAGCGTCCCCTGCCAAAGATTGCCCCTGCCGGGAGCATCATCAGCCTGAACGCAGCCCAGCTGGCAGCGGCAGCCCAGGCCATGCAGACCATCAACATCAACGGTGTCCAGGTCCAGGGTGTGCCCGTCACCATCACCAATACTGGCGGTGAGGGAAGGCCCCCGGCCCCAGGCATGGGCAGCCTTGAGTTAAGGTTGGAAGGAAAGGAGGGAGCCTTTGGACTGGCTTGTGCTGCACTTCTCAGTTCAGTGGTAACATTTGGTGATATTTACGGTATGAAAGCAGCCTCGCACATAATCAAAGGAACATTGTAGGTACCTAGCACAAATGGTTCGTTGCATTCTTTAGCTGGGTGAAGGGGAATTTTCAAGGTAGTGGGAGCTCTCTGAATCTCCTCCCTTCCTCCTTGAATGAATTTCCAGCACTTTATGCATTTGGTTTAGTGGCCTGGGAGAAGTCCACCCACAGGCACTCCCCCTGCTTTGATGGCTTTATGCAAGTCCTAGAGGGCTTGATTTGTTCCAAAGCCCGTAGAACTCTCTCTCCCTCTGTTAACAAAAATCCCTGGAGACTTTCCTGGGAGCAGAGTTGGTGTCTCACAAGGGCCTAAGGTTGGAGGAGATTCTGGAAAAACACTCCAAGACCCATGTGGGCAATGTCTGGAAGTGAATTTGGCCTATGTAGTATAGTGGTTCTGGGCATTGACTCTGAAGTTGACTGGGTTCCTATCCAGATTCTACAAGTTCTACATGTGTGATCTTGAGTGTCAGTTTCTTCGCCTCTCAAAGGGGGATGATAGTACCTATTTCATGGGGTTATGAAACTTAAGTGTATTAATACATTTAAGATCTCTAAAATGGTATCTGGCACATAGCAGGCTCTCAAAAATATTAGCTGCTATGACTGTCAACCTTACTATGTGCTGGAAGGAAGAGGGGGGTCAGGCTCCCTCTTCTGCCCCTTTGGGCTTCCTCACCCTGAACTCTGCTCCACTCCTCCCCACAGGGCAGCAGCAGCTGACAGTGCAGAATGTTTCCGGGAATAACCTGACCATCAGTGGGCTGAGCCCCACCCAGATCCAGCTGCAGATGGAACAGGCCCTGGCTGGAGAGGCCCAGCCTGGGGAGAAGCGGCGCCGCATGGCCTGCACGTGTCCCAACTGCAAGGATGGCGACAAGAGGTGATTTGAGGAGACGGGCCAGGCGGCCAGCCTGGCATGTGTCCTGTTCCCCAAGCCCTCCCTGGGACACAGACAGAGAGGGGACCAGGTAGTGGCTCCGTGCTCTCCGACCTGACCCCACATCCTCTCTCCATCCTGTCCCGCCCCCATCTCTCTACCTCCCCGCTCTCTCTGCTTCCCATTCCCTCCACCCCACCCTCAACCCAATTCCCAGGTCTGGAGAGCAGGGCAAGAAGAAGCACGTGTGCCACATCCCTGACTGTGGCAAGACTTTCCGAAAGACGTCCCTGCTGCGGGCTCACGTGCGCTTGCACACTGGCGAGCGGCCCTTTGTCTGCAACTGGTTCTTCTGTGGGAAGAGGTTCACACGGAGTGACGAGCTCCAGCGGCACGCCCGCACCCACACAGGTCTGCTCCCTCCCCTGCGGCGCCCTCCAGCCCCCCGCCCCTCCCACTCCGCACTTCAGCTCCCTGCCTCTCTCCCCACCCCAACTCCATTGTCCTCAGCGACATGGAGACTCCTGGCCTGGCCAAGGAACTACGGCACTGAGTGGGGCTACAGACTGTCTCCTCGGGGTGCAGGACTACCCGGAAAGTCTCGCAAGCCATTCCTTATTGCAGTGTTTCCCAAAGTGAGGTCAGTTGCGTCGCACAGCCTTGATGGCTTCTGCCCTAAGCTGCATGAGTTTAATGGTCAGTGGCACCTTGTGCAGGCACTGTACTACACATTCTACCGTTAACTGTGTAATCCTCACACGACTCCATGGGGACGGCGCTGTGACTGTGCCCATTCTACTGAGGCATGGAGCGGGGGCCGGGTCACACAGCCAGTGACTAGTGGAGCTGGTTCAACCCAGGCCCTCTGGCTCCCAAGTTCACGCTCTTAGTCACTATCCCACATTGCCTTTCCTACTGTTATTTACCGAATGATTTTCCTTAAATCACTTCACCATTTTTACTCTTTTACGTCCAGTGCAGTATTATGTTTCACATCACAGGCTTGGGATGATAGCTAAGTGTTTTAACGTACTGGCAAAGTAGAAAATCGTTCATGCATCTGCCGCCCGAGATTGCCCTGCGTGTCTCCAGTGGTCCACAGCACATGCTTTGAGAACTGCCGCTCCGGCAGATGCCCGCAGTGAGCAGATGCCTGTCCTGGGCCTGGGGACACGAGGCCCAAAGCTCTGGCTCCTGGCCAGCGTGGCGGGGCAGGTCACGCCCACCCTCTGCAGGCTGCAGAGTAAATACTCAGAACAGCAGCAGAGCCAGCCCGGGTGTGCGGCTCAGTCTGGCAGGTCAGAGGGGAGTGGGGTTTCCCTGTGAGGGGGCGGACTTTGAGCCGGGGTTAGTCAGAGGGACGAAGATCAGAAGAAAGTAGGTGACAGGCTACACGGGAAGCGTCCTGGGTGCAGGTGCACAAGTATAGCATTTGGCACAGCACAAGGAATGGAAACAAAGTAGACTGGAGGGTGATAGCGGGGAGGGGATGAGGACTGACAAAGGTTCCCATCAGTGGATCACAGGGAGCACTGTGTGAGCAGCAGGTAGGCCGGTGACACGGCTTCACAGGTGCCCCTCACACCTCAACGTGTGTGCCTCCTTTTCCGGGGCATGGCACTGTGAGTGATGGGCATCTCCTCTTCCCAGGGGACAAACGCTTCGAGTGTGCCCAGTGTCAGAAGCGCTTCATGAGGAGTGACCACCTCACCAAGCATTACAAGACCCACCTGGTCACGAAGAACTTGTAAGGCCAACTGAGGCGGGAGGCCTCGCAGATTGCAGACCCCTGCCTGTGTCCTGCCTGGGCCCCTGGAGGAAAGAAGGCCCACGGCTGCCCTGGGCCCGCCCTCTCCCGTCCCTCCTGTTCTGCGACTGTCCCCACAGGAAGGGACTCTACCACCCCCATACTCACCTCCTTCTGAAGCCCCTTGGCTCCTCCCTGGCCCTCCCCTCTCACCACAAGCTCCCGGCCTGCCCAGACCGTGGACAGTGGCCGTGCCCCATGAGACGTTCTAAACCAGGACGAGTGGGAACCCTTATTTCCAAAGGAAAAACGTGAATTTCACTCCATCGAGGAGCAAAGTGAGCCCCCCCTCCCCCAAACACTGCCGGAGTCGCATTGTGCCATGCCCCTCCCTCTCCTGCACCTCCCTGGCCCCCTCAGCCACTGCGGGTGCCCCGGGGCCCTGCACGCAGGGCACCACTGGCATCCAGCTCCACCTCCGGAGAGGCTCCAGAGGCCGCCTCCACTCCACATTCCCCTGCCCCACCCCAGCTCTCCTCCAGCACATTCCAACTTTCTATTTAAAAAGTAAAGCTACCCACGGACTCCCTGATTCCCCTCTTTTTCTGTGGGGAACGTTGCCTTATACTCTACTTCCGATGATGAACACTGTGTATTGTGTGTGCTTTAAAGAAGTTTTATTTAATTGCTCCCTTCTTCCTGTTCTTGTTACTCACCTCCCCCATGCCTGCTTTTAGTTTAGGGTTTTTGGGGGGCAATGATGAGCATATAAATTTTTTTCTCACTCTAGTAATTCTCTTTTCTAAACAACACAGCATTTCAACTCGAATCTGGATTCAGGTAAAACACCTTCCCATCCTGAACCTCATCCCTCCCCCTCATCTCACCCACCCCAACCAGCCCAAGCCCTACTTGTGTACAGTGTATATTGTATAATAGACAATTGTGTCTACTACATGTTTAAAAACATATTGCTTGTTATTTTTGAGGCTTTTAAATTAAACAAAAATCCAACTTTATTTTTAGTTGTAACTGCTTGAGGTATGTTTTTGAATTAAGTGACAGATTTGTTATCCTTTATTAACGATGTACTTTGTTGGTCAGCGCTGGGCTGACAAAAATTTTTTCTTGCTAATAAATTTAGTTGCCTGAGGCAAAATCTGCAACTTGGCACTGCAGCTTCCTTTGTCTTTCCCCTCGGAGAGCTCCGAGAGGGGAATCCTGAGGAGGGAGCCCTGGTTTCTCGGAGCTGTCCGCACTGGGACCAGGGCAGGACCTTGTCCTCCTGACCTTGGCAGATCTAGGCCACAGCCCGAAAAGGGCTTCAGCCACAAGGACCTCCTGGCATTGGCACAAGCCCCCAGAGCACCTGGGGGGGTACTGCAGAGGGCAGGGCCTGGTGCAGGAGTTCCTGCTGTGTTCTCCCCTAAGCCAGTTTTGCCCAGATCAAAGCAGGCATACTCTGCCCAGAGACTCAAGTGAACAGCAGTGCCTTCCTTACCAGCAAGTGAATTCCTCCACTCAACTCTCCAACCCCTGGAGCAGGGCTTTGGCCTCAGAGCCCGTTAGTAAGAAGCTTAGGGGAGAAATCCAAAGGGACCTTGCCTCAGTCACTTCCAGAAGGCTAAAGAGTCTGGAGAAAACACAAGGTCCCTTCCCAGGGTGGAGGGCCAGGCCAGAACCCAGCTCTACCCAAGAGAGAACCCTGGCCCCAGTTTCTGTTCTTCTACTGTCCCTCACCCCAGCACCGCAGGGAAGGCAGCAGGCTGATTTTGGTTTTAGCAAGTGCTGCAGATCTGAAATTTTGGTGGGGATTTTTGGGGGTGGGCAGGGGATGGGACAGGGCTCATTAGGAGATCAGGGGTTGGGATGGTAGGCAGACTGCGATGGGACCCAGCTCAGCACCTGTGTTTAAACCTAGCAGGGGCCTGAAGAGCATCTGAGCTGAAGGAAGAGGCAAGTTGTTCTCAAGCATATAGAGAACAGTACGTGCTTTTCTTGTAACAACGATGCCTCTTAATCAGCCTCAAAAGGACACAGCCAGGGTGGCTGTTCTGTGCAAGAGTGGCAAGGCTCGTTTAGAGCTATCAGTCTCCTTAACTGTGTTTCCTTTGTCACCAGCGCCTGCATTTTTGCAAGCAAACAGCTTGTCCTTAGAGCCAGTCCACCCTCACATCAGCTGAAGAAATAAAAAGGAGATGGATCTCAGATAGACCACAGGTCCTCTGCCCCCATCACTTCTTTATTAACAGGCAGGGAGTCCCGTCCCAAGCATACTTAAGCCCTTTGGGTGATACCAGACCAACCACTGTCTCTACCCTGACATGGAAGCCTCCTAACCAGCCCAGCAGCCCCACTTCTCATTGCTGCACTGGCAGGAGGAGGAAGACATGAGGTATATTTATCTACTCTCACGTGCGGATGGTGTGACTAGAAAACTGCCTTACTGTGTTCTTGATCGGGATTGGCGAGAGAAGGGGAATGTTAACAACTGACCTCTTTCTGCCACATGTTCCCCACCGGCTTTGCTCTCAGGCACAAAGAACTATCCTTTCCTGGGAACTGATTCCAAGTCATGTGCTTTATGCTTCAAGTGTGGAAACTGACCTGACTCCTTGGCATCCTTTGGAAATGAGGTGTCAGCCCTCAGCGGGCAGAGCGGTGTGCTGGCACTCGGGATTTCCCTTCTCCAGTGAGACTCACGGGTTCAAAAGTTATGCCTGACCATCTCTGCCTCCCGTGGGATGCCTGAGTTAGAAAGGGAGCAGGAGGGCTTCCCCGGTGGTGCAGTGGTTGATAGTCTGCCTGCCAATGCGGGGGACGGGTTCGAGCCCTGGCCCGGGAAGATCCCACATGCTGCGGAGCAGCTGAGCCTGTGCGCCACAACTACTGAGCCTGCGCTCTAGAGCCCGCGAGCCAAAGCTACTGAGCCCACGTGCCACAACTGCTGAGGCCTGCGCGCCTAGAGCCCGTGCTCTGCAACAAGAGAAGCCACGACAGTGAGAAGTCTGCGCACCGCAACGAAGAGTAGCCCCCAGCTCACCGCAACTGGAGAAAGCCCGCGCACAGCAACGAAGACCCAACACGGCCAAAATAAACAAATAATTAATTTAAAAAAAAAAAGGGAGCAGGAAAGTGTATTCTGCCTAGCACGGCTGTTGGCCTGGGGAGAGAACGGAGAGACCTGGTGGCAAATTAGCCCTCATCTGCTTTAATCCATCCCTTATTTACTGGAGTTGCAGGGGGTGGGGACTGTTGACACTGATGTGGCCCAAGCTCGCCCCAGGCCAGAGGCCTCCCCAGGACACCTGATTGGCCCTGGTTGAAAATCTGGGGGCAGGTTACTCCCAGCAGCTTGAGAGTGGGGGTCACACAGCCCGAGTTCCCTCCCCAGGGTCCTGTGCACCAAGGCCACCCCTCACCACCCCCTCCTGTCTGCTCAGTGATGGTCAATGCTACGGCTCATCCAGATACTAGGATTATGAGCCCGAAATAAAAGGGGGCTGGGGAAGACCCTCCCCTCCTGAAGGCACATCGGGCAAAGTACTTTTTTGTTGTCTAACTAAACCAGCAAATAGATCTCAGGCTTCCTTCCTTTAATGATGGGAGCTGCCTGCAGCATCTCAGGTCCCTGCACCCATCAGGGGCTCGTGGCTGAGGTCTAGATGGTGGTGGATTCCAGGGAACCTAACTTGGGGGTCAGACGCTGCCTTGGGACAGAGACCTCCTGTCACCTGACCAAGGTCTCTGGGGCTGGGATGAAGCCACTAAAGGAACTGCAATAATCTCAGGACAGGTGGCAGTTGGGTTTCCTAGTGAAGAGGTCCTCGGGGAGTGGAAGAGCAGGAAGTGAGCCTGGGAGGATGGAATAAAGAAGAGGGGTGTGGGTGAAAAGAAAGCAAACCATGGAGGGAGAGGCAGAGAATCAGGGCTTGGAGGGGAGCATCAAATACCTGCTAATCGGGATCGTGGCCAAGAGGAAATTAGAAATGACCACAGGTCAGGCCAAGAGGATTGACCAGGATTTCTTAAATGAAACTAAGGAACCGCCAGGTCATATCCTTTGGGCCTGCTGAGAACTCATCAGGCCTCCTCCCCCTACCTGTGGCCCACTCTCTGATTAGCCAGTGCCCGGGCTAAGAGAGATGACCCAGCCAACTCACCCTGGAAACCTTAACATCCCTCCAGCCAACAAAGACCCTCTTGGTGGCCCTGCTCCTACCAGGTGCCAAAAACCCCAAGCCCCACTCACCAAGTTCAGAGAAGTTTAAGAAAAGCAGATTATGCATAGACATTACAGATTAGCATTTCCTGGCTGGGATTTTGAGAAGGAGCCAGGGAAATTAAGCAGTCCCTCCCATGAAGGAGCTTCTCAGGGGGAACACATATGAAAACAATGGGACAGATTCAGGGAGCAATCCGTGAGCACATGCAAAGGATTGTGTGAGGGGTTAACTCCATAACTGCAAGCAGGACAGTCGGGTAAGGGTCAGCCTTCCTGCATCCCCCTCTGGGTCACCTGATAACCACACTCAGGGCTCAGGCATCTGCTGGCCGAGCACCAAGTACCCACCTGTCTGTATGTCCTGAGGCTCCACACTGAGTTCACCCAAAGCTAGGCTGGAGAATTCCTGAGATCTGGGCCCCCAGCACACCCCTTCTGGCCTGCTGTTGGTCCCCCGGAAAGCTGGGTGCTATACTTCAGGAGCATCTTTACCACTCTTCCAGGCCCCCTTCCCTTCCCAGACACTGTCATCCTCCCCCATGGCTTCAAGTGCCACCTTGGAGGCTCATGACACCTAAACCATCCCATCAGCCCAGACCTCTCCCCCAGCTCCAGAATTGATTTTCCAACCCAACCGAATGTGGTTGTCCCATAAATCCTCACACTCAACAGGTCTGATGGCGACTTCATCTTTCCCTTAAGCCTCTCCAACATTCCCCCACTTCAATGAACAGCACCGCCCATGTCGCCTAAAGCCATCCTGCTGAGTCAAATCCCTCCTCTCCACCCCACACCCCCCAAACTCAGGCATCAGGCTCTGACACTTACAGAGAACACAGCAGCGTCTTGCCCTCCTTCGCCTATCACCCACTCTGTCACCAGAGCCTCATCCCAAAACAAAAATTCAATCACCAGGGGCTTCCCTGGTGATGCAGTGGTTGAGAGTCCGCCTGCCGATGCAGGGGACACGGGTTTGTGCCCCGGTCCGGGAAGATCCCACATGCCGCGGAGCAGCTAAGCCCGTGAGCCATGGCCGCTGAGCCTGCGTGTCCAGAGCCTGTGCTCCGCAAAGGGGGAGGCCACAGAAGGGAGAAAACCCCGGAACCCAAAAAAAAAAAAAAAAAAAAATCCAATCACCAAGATGTAACTGAAATATATAATTCAATCAAACAATTAGACTAAAAGGTGACTTAAGAACATAAATGCAAAAGCATCAGAAGAAAACAGGCAAGGCATAGCCCCCAAACTCACAGCCAGCCTTTTGTTGCATATTAAGAAACCGGGGTGCCTCTGTACAATGCAGTATTGCAACATAGCTTCTATTCACTGAAGACTCTCGAGAAAAGATTAGTAACTTTACAAAGTTGGGTGTGGGGGTGGGCAAAATGTTTAAGACAAAGCAGTAACAATAAAAAATTCATTTCTCCCAAGCAGACAAACCCCTTGCTGGGGTTGCAGCAGTAGCAACACAGCCAGCGGGCATGTTTCCCCCCTGGTTTGCACTGTGGGGCTGCTTTGTGATCTAGACACCAAATCCCACTAGGCAGAAAAGCACAATACAAGCCTACTTATTATCTTCAAGATGAAGGAGCAAATATAAAAAGGCAACCAGTTGCAAACTTCCTCACTAACAGCCAAGGATGGAAGAGGCTGTCAGAATCTAGAGATTTTTCTCTCTACCTGGCCTTAAAAAACCAGGAATTAGACACCCTGGTTTGACAGCAGCACAGGATAAAAACTTAGAATAGTTGTCTAAAGCCTAGCCCTTGCTACCTACCTGATCTTCAGCAGGCACTGAGCCCCTGACTACTCGCCTGGTCTGTTTTCTCACTACCTAGCTACAGCAGCATCACACTCGAGTTGCTCCCTCTTCCTGGCATGCCTGTTCCGTTGTCCATCTGGAGAACCCTTACTCATTAAGGCAAATCAAATGTCTGCTCCCTTTATGAAGCCTTTACTGACTGTGTGACCTCTGGAGACCACTTCCTCCTTTTTGCTCCCCCTTACCTTGCAGAAACACCTGTTAAAATTCCTGTAACTCCTTAGCTTACAGATCTGCCTCCCACTGTAGACTATAAGCCCCTCGTGGGCAGGAACCATGCATCTTCATCTTCATATTTTCAGACCTAGCTCAGTGCCTGGTCCAAAAGAAGTCTTTAACACATGTCTACCCCACTATACCGAGCCCTTGGCTTTTAATTTTTAAGCAAACCATTCAAATGATCCTAGTCTTGGTACCCCAGAATCTTGGGTCCAGGGTAGCATAGCCCAAGCAGGGCTAAGAGTGTAGCTGCATGAACAAAATCACCTGAGCTGAAGGGTACTAATCACTGCTTACCCAGGTTCAAGTGCAGGGCCTTGGGAGGAGGGGAGCAATGTTCATATGTGGAAAGACAACTTCAACAAGAAAGAAAGCCCAGTCAACTCTCTCTCAACTGTGCTGACAGAGAAAATTGATGGCAACACAAAAACTTTGTACCAGCGGAGGATCCATAGATCAACATCGTTAAGCCTTGAGACATGTATTATTTCTTTGCAGCAAATTTGTCTTCCAGATTCTATTTGGCTCAAGCTATGTGCACGTAATAAAGGATGATAGGTATCTAATGTTGGGCTTAATGAAGCTTGGCTGTAATGCAGACACCTGGGCAGGGCAGGAAGTTTCCCTTACCTGGCACAGTCCTGGGGTGCCTGCCTAGGTGGCTCCTGCAGCTCCCCTTCCTGATGTTGGTGGAAACCAGGACTACACAGAGGCCTTGACCCAAGGCTGCCCCAGCCAGGTCAATGCTGGAATGGGCACTGGCAGGTGTCCTATTTCTCAGCCCTGAGTCCACAGCCTGGAAGTGACTTTTGCATAGCCACCTGCTCCCCTGTGCCCTCCTTTACGGCTGGCACTGACCTGGAAGCTAGACTCCAGCTACCTAGAAAGGGCAAAATGTGAAAAAGGGGAAACGACAAAGATGGGGGTGGCCCGGGAGAGGTGGGGCAATCTTTCCATCTACCAGAACACTGGCTAGTGTGAACTCTGCTGCAACCACAAAAGGGGAAACCATGAGGAAAGGGAGCAGCATGCTCTGACCCAGGTTATAGCAATGAGGCTGGAGAGAAGGGATTCCGAGCTGGAAGATGGTTCTGGTCTGGGATGGCTTGATCCCAAATTTCCCTCTTTCCCTTTCCCATTCAGCCATCTGCTTTCTTAACCATAGTCTTGGTAAGACTGCTCCTCCCCAGACCCCAGAGTACCTACCTCCCCATACTCACACACTGTACAGTACCTATCCCGTGAGATCCACAAGTCATTTGCAACCTGTCCCACTCTTGAACGCCAATTTCTCCCCCCCACCAGATCGCCCCTTTCTGTGTCTCCACATCACCTTGCCTCCGAGTCTGGCCCCTAATTCCATTTTCCATTTGTCCTTTCCTGGCACCAGTCTCCTCCGACGGGTACTTTCTGCACTAAGCTGGCCTTCAGGCACCTGCTAGGGGCCGGCCCCTTGATACTGACTACTCCCCTCAAGCCCCCAGCGGCTCATTCCCCGTCCCGGGCCAGGGCAGCTTCATTTCCTATACCTTTAACAAACTCCACGTGCGTGTTAACGGCGGTGACAGCATTTCCTTGTCTCTCTGCTCCCGCCCCCGGAGGCGCCGTCCATTGGCTGCAGGGTTCCTCCGTTCTTGCCCTAATTGGCCTCGCTCTTGGAAAACTCTGACCAATGGCATCTCCGCGCCCGGCTCCCTCCACCAACCCTGGCTTCCTATTGGCTTCCATTGGCTCGGAGGACTTGGGCCTGTGGGCCTGGCTCGGCAACTGGCAAATTCTTCCTTGCCGGCGTAGATTCCCGGGCTAAGAAACTGGTTCCGAACCCAACGGAACCCAGCGCGGAGCGACGCCGGGTCACGTGGCCTGCGGCCCCATGAGGTTCGGGCTACGGGGCGTCATCGTGACGTTCGGGCGACCCGCCGAGTGGCCCCGCTGCCTCCGCCACCTGTGCAGTCGCGGTGCTGTCATGGACCTGGGACCGATGCGCAAGAGTTACCGCGGGGACCGAGAGGTGCCGCCGCCCCGCAGGGCCTCCACAGGGGCGGGGGCACAGGGAATCCGAATCATCGCCGGAGCGGAGGGGAATGGGAGGGATAACCTGGGGTTTCTGTTCCACCCCTTGGGGCTCGGGGTCACCTCCGTGGGAGAAGGGGGTTCAAAGACAATCAAGGGGGGAAGTGTTCCGGGGAAACGAGGATGAAGGTGGACTCCAGAGGCAGCTTGTCTTAGGGGCTCAGGGCGCGCACTCGGGGTCTGCCTGGATATCCTGCAGGTCGCTCCGCGCACCCCTTGGGCGGTTTCCTCACCTCCTTGGGCCTCTGTTTCCTCACCTGTGAAGTGATAGTACTGACCTCACGGGGATATTATGGACTTTGATATTTGAAAAGTGCCTAGAACAGTGATAATTAGCTTATACATGTTTGATAAGTAACACGTGGGGCAGGAGGACTGTTTTATGCAGGAGGGGGAGGAGAAAGCTCCTGGCTCTTACTGCCTTTTCCCTCCTCAGGAGAGAAACCAAGAAAATTATTTTGGAATTGGGAACCAGGGCCTGGTTACCAAATCTGGTTGCATGTGAGCATTTCCAGAAACGCATGTTAAACATGCAAGTTTTCATTAAACCTCAGACCTACTGAATGAGAATTTACAGGGTGGAGCCCAGGAATCTGTCTTATTTTTTAGGCTCCCCAGGTGATAGGTTTGACACCCATGACATGAAACCCTGATTTGTCCATCAGTAGGTGTGGGACCTATTCACCTTTTCGTGGTTTTTGTTATGAGATAGTTGTTATGAGGACTAAATGAGTTAATATTTGAAAAGTGCCTAGAACAGAGCCGTGTACACAGTATGCACTACATGTGTTTGTTAAGTGAAATAAAACTCTCCCTTCCCAGGCGTTTGAGGAGACTCAGTTGACCTCCCTGAACCCCATGAAGCAGTTTGCTGCCTGGTTTGAGGAGGCTGTTCAGTGTCCTGACATAGGGGAAGCCAATGCCATGTGTCTTGCTACCTGTACCAGGTAGGCATAGCTGTGGGCCCTTCTGAAGGTGGGTACAGATGAAGTAGGAAACTTAGGAAGCTCTCAATTTGATGGATGACAACTTTATGATTCTAGTTGTGTTATTAACATGCTGTGTGGCCTCAGGCAAGTAACTTGTCCTCTCTGGACCTCAGTGTCCTTACCTCTAAACCAAAGATTAGACTTTACTCAATTCCATTTCAATGATAAAATGTAGTGCCTCATTCATCTCTGCCCTCGATGCACCCAACCCAACACACACCTTTGTCTCCCGCGTCTCCCGGTCTCCCCAGTTCCCATCTGCTCTTTGAGAGGCAGATCTCCTGGAACCTCTCCATAAAGCCCTCTTCCTCTCTTGAAATCTAGCACAGTTCTTGTTTGTGTCATTCATTTGACAATCCATCATAAACCCCTTGAGACATCTCTTATATTAGCCTCTTATTCAACCCTGCTTGTCCCCCACTCACTAAAGCACAAGGCCTTGAAGGCAGGGCTCTTGTACTGTGCCCCCAGATATCCCCCAGAGCTAGTTTGCTTGGGCCACCATAACAAAGTACCACAGACTGGGGGGGATTAAACAACAGAGATTTATTTTCTCACAGTTCCGGAGGCTAGAAGTCCAAGGTCAAGGTGCTGTCAGAGTTGGTTTCTAGTGAGGTCTCTCTTCCTGGCTTACAGATGGACACCTTTTTTGCTGTGTCCTCACATGGCCTTCCCTTTGTGTGCGCAGGGAGAGAGGGCTCTGGTGTCTCTTCCTCTTCTTATAAGGACACCAGGCCTGCTAGATTAGAGTCCCACTCTTATGACCTCATTTAACCTTAATTATCTCCCTAAAGGCCCTGCCTGCAAATATAGTCACATTGCGGGTTAGGGCTTCAAAACTTAATTTTAGGGGAACCCAGTTCAGTCCATTACAGAGCCCTAGGCAATGGTGTCATACGGCACCTCCAGGACAAATTCCCATGGGCAAGTGGGAATGGGCAGCCTGAGTGCACAGACAGTGCAGAATCAGGGGGTACAGGTGTAGGGGTGCTCAGACATCCTGTGGGGAGGGGCTCTGACCACAGTGCTCTGCTCTTTGCCACAGAGATGGGAAACCGTCCGCCCGCATGGTGCTGCTGAAGGGCTTTGGCAAGGATGGCTTCCGCTTCTTCACTAACTTCGAGAGTCGAAAGGGACAAGAGCTGGTGAGGGTTCATGGTAAATCCTTCCTGGGCCTACAGGGTCCAGCCCTGACTCATTGGTCACCTTCTCATGCCATAGCTGCCCCAACCCACTTGCCGGCTGTGCTCAGGCACCATCCTGCCTGTGGGCCTTTGCACTTGCCCTTCTCTCTGCCGTGGATGAGTGCTCTCTGTAGGCACCCCTACCTCCCCATGTTTACCTGAGTAGCTCCTGTTCCTTTGGGTCCAGCCCCCACGTTACCTCCTCAGGAGAGCCTTCTGGACTCCCAGGCTGAGTCGACCCCTTGCACTGTTTGCAGTCATTATAACTGGCAACTTTCCTTTCTGCCATTTTTTTAGTTTCTAACCATGCATGTATTTATGGGATTATGTGATTAATGTTTGTGTCCTCTGCTAAACCGTAAGCTCCTTGGGGTCAGAGGCTGCATCTGTGGTATCTCTGTTATACCCCCAGCACCTCTCCTGGTGTTGAGCACAGAGTTGGCACTTCGTATGCATTCAATTCGTGAATCCAAAATGAGTACCCTTCCCTGAGTCCAGTGCAGCCAAACATACATTTCTGAGGATTTGCAAATCTGTGGGTGAGAGAAATGGCAAGCCTCACTTTGGAGTCCATCTGGCCCATTCACCGTGTGAACCTGGGCACGTTACTTAACCTCTCTGAGCCTGTCTCCACACCTGTAAAAGTAGGCCTACCTCTGAGGATTTAAAAATGAGACATTACAGTAAATGCATCTGCAGTGGGCCTGCGCGATGCAGACTCCCTGCCTTCCCCCCATGCTGGAGGCGTCCTCACTTCTGTCCGGATGACTGTCTGTGGATTCTGTTTCATTTCCAGGACTCTAATCCCTTTGCTTCCCTTGTCTTCTACTGGGAGCCCCTAAACCGTCAGGTGAGTGTGCATTCCTGGGACAGACTGGGGTGGGCAGGGGTGGGAAGGGCCTGAGTTTATGAATGAACCTGGTGAGGGTCCCCAGGCTGGGCAAACGTCCTGCCTTTCAAACGGCTCTCACTTAGCTGGGCTAGCTGGAGTCAGGCGTGACGGGGCAGTGGATAAAGAGAAGAACAGAGAGGACTGGGGCCTCTACTGGTTGGGGGGGCGGGTGGCACTGAATGCCGTCTAACCAGGACCATCCCTGTGCAGGTGCGAGTGGAGGGTCCCGTGAAGAAGCTGCCCGAGGAGGAGGCCGAGTGCTACTTCCACTCCCGCCCCAAGAGCAGCCAGATTGGGGCTGTGGTCAGTCACCAGAGTTCGGTGATCCCCGATCGGGAGGTGAATGGGGCTTCTCCTTAGTCCTCTGGGTGGTAGTGCTTTGGCTCAGCCCCAGAGGCTGTCCCCAGGGGGTGCCAGGGCCCTCTCTCTCCAGCAAAGTGAAATGGATGGTCTCCCTGGGGGACGTGGATTTGGCGAGCAGGGAACAGGCCTCCTGTATCTGTCTGACCCTCCCGTTGGACTGTGCCCCTAGAGGCCAGAGGCCAGCCGGGCTTGCGCACCAGTGTCCTCAGCACCTGGCACAAGAGCACATGCTCAGTAAGTGGTGATTAAGTGAATCACTGACTGGGTCTGGCCCTTCCTCCATCTCCTTCCCCTGGACAGTATCTGAGAAAGAAAAACGAGGAACTGGAGCAACTCTACCAGGAACAAGAGGTGCCGAAGCCAAAATACTGGTGAGTGATACCTGGTGGTCGTCTAGAAAGGGACACTGGGACCCTCGTGCTTACTTAAAGCCACCCTGTCCATGGAATTACAGATCTCCTCCTTCCTGGCAACCCTTGTTTGATGCACGCCAGCACCTCCCTTCACGGGGCGCTGGGATGGCGCGGAGGGTGGTGGGGTTGCCTGGCTGGACAAACGCGCAGAGCACCGAAGCCTCTGCTTGTCCTTGTAGGGGTGGCTACACCCTGTACCCCCAAGTGATGGAGTTCTGGCAAGGCCAAACCAACCGCCTGCATGACCGGATCGCTTTTCGACGGGGCCTACCGACAGGAGACTCCCCCTTGGGGCCCATGACCCACCGAGGGGAGGAAGACTGGCTCTATGAGAGACTTGCACCCTGACTCCCAATCTGCTGGCGCTGACTGGAGCTGGGATCCGTGCTAAGAGAGGGTATGGGATCAGGAGCCAGGCCCTTCTAAACTCAACGCATTTCCCTTCCCACCTCTTATATTCAGGGCCCTTCAGAGAGTTCTCTGTAGTCAGCGGGTCTAGTGGTGTCTAACAGTGGCATGGACAATCACAAATGTAAAATAATCCCATAATTATTCTTGACCTTAACTATGATTGATTGGAATAGCTCCCTCTAGGGGTAGCATCTGGTGTGATTCCCTTTTCTGGTGACAGGGGCTGGGCCCACAGCAGCCTTGTCTGTTATCACGTGACAGTCATACCGGCCAAAGCCCGTTGGTCCCAGCAGAAGCACCTGAGCCAATCTAGCCAATTGTTTTTTCTCGTCACCAATTTGAAATTTGAAACGGAGGGACTCAGAGCATAGGAGTGTCTGTAGCCAAGTCAATAATGGCCGCCTAGAAGCAACAGCCTCTGGGTGCTGCTCTTGCAACTCCCTCAGCAGTCCCTGGATCCCTCCTTCCCGTGTCTGGGGTGTGCAATTCCTCCTCCTACCTCAGAAAACCCATTATCTCTTTACAAAAAAAAAAAAAATTTTTTTCTGCTTAAACTAGCCATTATCTATTTGTGTTGCTTGCAACGAAAAGTACCTTAACTATCTCATTTACTAATAGGATATTTTTATACCACTTAACCCAACTGATAGCTGCCTTCCATTATCCGAAGCACAGCAATGTGGAAAAGAGACTAAATTTATTCTCTGTAGCTCCAAAGGACCCACAGGTGGAAGCTGTACAGAAGTACGTTTCATCTCAATATGAGAAGAGATTTCAAACAATTGGGGCTGCCTAGGAGGGTGTAGGTTAGGTAATGAGTGTTCTGTCACTGTCAGGAGTTTTGTAGAAGGCACTTGTGCTGGTACCTATGTATCAGGAAGCTTTTCATCAAGCTTTACTTTCCATATTTGGTTATAAAAACTATATGTATGTGAAATACATATATACATACATTTATATGTATTTTACTTTCCAGGTATAAAATTAAATAATAGAAATTATACTTTGCTGACACTCACACATCCTTTTACCCCCACCCCCACCCCCACCTGATGATGACTCCTAGATCACTGGTTTTCATCCTCACTGGAATTACCGAAGAGCTTAAAAAACCCTGGTGCCCAGACCCACCCTCAGAGATGATCTGACCAGTGTGAGTGCAGCCCGGACTTGGGGAAGTTTAAAAGGTCCTCGGGGAATTCTGTGCAGCCGAGGTTGAGACCCCCCAGTAGTAGATGCTTGCTACTTGCAGTGTGGTCCACAGGCCAGCGGCATCAGCATCACTTGGGAGCCCAGCCCAGACCCACTGAATCTCACTCAGCTTTCAACAAGACCACCCCCGCCCCCAGGTGACCCAATGCACTAGCCTCAACTTCTAAAGCAACCGCCTCCCACCCTCACAATTGGATTCTTCAGTCACCCTTGGCTGAGGCCTGTGCTGAGCTGTAGTATTTGCTTTCCTCGAGCCCAAGTCTGGTGACCAGGGACAACCTGGATGAGTGGCCTACAGGCTTCGGAGAGGAGCCAGGCTGGGCAAATGTTTGCTGTGACTAAGCCGGGATCAGAGAACTGACTATTTGTACACATTGGCCCTGAGCTTGCTACCCTGTAAACTGCTTCATTCCACTGCATGGGCGTGTGCTTCCGTGTCTGTTACTGACTCCCTCCTCCAAGGGCAGCCCTCTGGGTGTTGGCCCCCCTTAAGCCTGGGTGCAGGAAGACACAACAGTAATCCTGTGGCCACCTGCAGGAGAGGGTGCTGGGGTGCCCTTCCCTACCGTGTCCTGTTTGCATTGTTGGGGGCTCTGTATCCCCCCTGCTTTGGGCCTGGTCTCAGCTGTTCCTCTCCTCTCCTCTGTCTGACAATCACTGTGCCGAGTCTATAATAAAAGCTCGTCATCCACGCATGATATTAATGTTCAATCTAGCCCAGTCTCGTCCCCGCCCCCCAGGATTGAGGGGAGTTGGGGAATTAAGCAACTCCTCCCAACTGGCTTCTCCCCTCCGGGAGGTTGGGCGTCCAGCAGGGGGAGCCCGAAGCCCAGGGTTGGCCCCTCCTGGGCGGCGCAGGCCAGTTCTGGTCGGCCCTCCCTGCCTCCCCCTTTCCCCCTTGCCACCCCTGGGTCTTGTCCCAGTGAAACTGTGGTCGATAACCCGCAGCCTCTCCCGGCTCCCGCACATATCTGCACCCTCGCTTCCTCCTCCTCCTGCCCCGGCCTCGTGAAAACTTGCAGCCGCCTTGGCTCCGACTCCCTGGGCAGCCAGATCTCCCTTTGGCTTTTAGTACCTCCCCCCCACCCCCATTCATCCATCCCCCAGCTTAGGGATATATGTGGAGTTTCCCTGGAAGATTCCGCGGACATCACTTTGGGCCGTGGAGTGGGGTGGCAAGCATGGGGCAGGGGGGCCTGCAGACTCTCTCCACCTAAGGGGGGTGGTGGTGCATGCGTTGCCAGCATGGGATAGAACCACGGGTCAGTGGCCCAGGGCCCAACCTCACCCCCCCTTGCCTCAGGGAACCTCAGGATGGCTGAAGTGGCAGGTCCCTACGGTCTGGGGTCACAGGGGACACTCACCTTTGAAGCTGGTTGACTTTCCCTCACTGGTTCCAGGGTCTGGGCAGCCCCATCGGATGGTGCTCGCCGTCCAGGATCCCGAGGCCCAGGCATAACCCCACCTCCCCTTCTGCAGAAGGTGACTGTGCTCCTTTCCTTGTTCTGAGCCTCAGTTTCCCTTCCCTAAGCAGATAAAAATCAAGTGTGGAAGGGGCTATGTGGTGCAGCAGTCATGTGCACAGCTCTGGCCTCCGTCCCAGCTCAGCCACTGCAAGCCCTGACCTAGGGCTAGTGACTTGACCTCTCTAAGCCTCAGCTAATGCACCTGGAAAAGTGGAAAACAGAGATAATGATAGCACCTGTGATGAGTTAAAGGAGGACCCTCGTGGAGGACTTGTCACAGCGCCTGGCCTGTTAGAAGCCCTCTGTGAGTCTCAGCTGCTAACCCTAGGCAGAGCTGCAGCCCTGGGAAAGTCAGCTCCTCCATGGGAGGCTTTATGGACTGAGTGATTGATGGGACCCTAGAAAGTTCCATGTGGTGGGGAGGGATACGGGAAGAGGCTTTGGGGAAGGCAGCACACCTGAGCCCGCCTTCCCTCCCTCCGGCCCCTGGTCTCCCACACTCATCCTCAGAGTTCCCTCTGGCCTGGGTGAGGCCACCTAACAAAGGCACCCTTGTACAGGTCTGTTTGTTTTGGTAAATTTCCTGAGTACCTCCCTGGGGTGGCCCAGCAGCCTGCGAGGAGCTGACCTGGAAGCCACAGAATCACATTGTTTAGTTGTCACCTGGGTCTCTCTCTGTTCCCACCATGAGCTCCAGAGATTTGGCCAATTTTTTCCAGTTCTCAGCTCCTGGGTCTGGATCTAACAGCATAGGGAGTAAGCTGTCTCCTTGTCCTTAAACGGTAGCTGTGGGCTATGGTGGAGTTCCTTCATAAAGGAAGGGGAAGGAAACCGATATTCACTGGGCACCTACTATAGGACTACTTACGGGCCACTTAATACTGACCACCCCCTGTGAAATAGGTATTATTACAGCCCCTTTTACAGAAGAGGAAACAGGCTCAGAGGAGGTGTTTTTTGTTATTGTTGCTGTTGCTGCTTTTTTTTTCCTTTTAATGTTCCCCCACATCACACAGCTACTAAGGGGGGAACCAGAATTTGAATCTGGATCCCAAACCAAACCACTGAGATTTGGGGATTGGTCACCAAAGGTCTACTCCATTCTCTTGGAGCCCCTGACAGCCTCTCCTGCTGAGGTGTGACTAGCTCCCTCCTTTACTCTCTTCATCTCCAGATGCTAAAGATGGCTGGTGGTGAAGTTAGTGACCCAGGTGCTACATTTTTACACCTGGGGACCCTTCCTGGTGCTTGAGAGGAATAGTTCGAACACAAAGTAAAAAAGAGTAAAGGCATGAAAAACAGCATCTCAGTAAATGCAAGACAAGAGCATAAACAGGTTCTCTGCTTCTGCAGCATTGTTTATTACAAAAAGAGAAACCTACAAGGATTTTTTTAAACAAAATTCAAGGCTGCAGGACTCACCTCTGAGGCTGATCCATCTTAAATACTAGTAGGGGGAGGAGGGCTCCTGTCAGAGCCTCCCACCCCCTTTCTGAGTTTGGACCCGCGGGGCAGTGTAGCTTTCCTTTGAGGGTTTGTGCAGGAACCCATGGGGTCCCTAATCTGGCCTTCTGCAGCACCCCCTAGGGAGCGCCAGGGTTGCCCTCCCCCTGCACCTGGGGGCAAAGTTCCAGGAAGTTTCCCACCTGAGTTAGGAGGTGAGCTCAAGTTCAGCATCTCCGCAGCAGCTCCAGGAAGCCACCCCGCAGCACGTGGCTTCCGGAAAACGCACTCTCAGAATCGATCCAGAGAATAATCACAGGTAGAGAAAGTAGAGGGAGCAGCAATGCAAACTCACCCTTGACCCTGTGTCCCAGGAGGGGGTGAGGTCTGTCCAGCTCCCTGTTCCATTCCTTCCACGCCCACCTCCCTTCTGGTGCTTCCACCTCTTCGAGGAGGGCTGTCCTTCCTGAGTGGGACTTTTCATCCTTGAACTGGAGTGCCTTTGTGTGTGGTGGGGGAGGGCGGGAGGACCTGGGATCTCTCAGGCCTTCCAGAAAGCTGGAGCACATAAATACAAACCTGAAACCAGACGTTTCCTGCCAGCAGGCATCGACTGCCGTCGAGGCTTCAGCTGTGGCCAAAGAGGCCAGCGTGGCGAGCTCCCGTCCCAGATCCGGCTGATGGCAGGGAGTGGGGAGGTGCTAGCGTCCTCCTTGGCCGCCTTCACTGTCCTTTGCCCTCCCTGTCATCAAAGAGGTTGGGGTTCTCTGCCAGCGTAGCTCGGACTTTTTTCTTCTCCTTGAAGCGGCCCGAATTGGAGACTTTGACGTGCTTGCCCTTCGTGTTCTTGTCCACAATCTTCTCCAGGCGGGTGTTAAAGTTGCTGTTGGGGCCCCCGCCGTCAGGCCTTGGGGGCTCTGCGCCGCCCTCAGTTTGGGTGTAGGTGTCAGGGATCTCATACAGCACCTTGGGAGTGGATTTCTTTTTCCGGAGGAAAGTCAGCTTCCACCAACCAACTTCGGTCATGGTGCTCTCAGACCCGAGGGTGGGGCTTTCTGCAGGAGCAGGGGATGTAGAGAAAGGGGTCAGTGGGGAGAAGGGGCGGGGGCCTCGGAGCAGCCCTTTCTAGTCTCCCAAATGTGGGCTATTTTCATAGCCTGGGCTTGAAAGAATTGAAGCCTGGGGCCAAATGAACCCAGGATTCAGGTAGGCGATGCAATACTTTTGGGGTCTATCAGGAGAGAGAGGGGTCTGGGGAAGGGGTGGCCAAGAAGACATCCATGGGGAAGCCATCTGAGCCAGGCGGAGGGGACAATGGGACAACCAAACACCACTGCCAGGCAGCTTTGACACTCCAGGCCCCTTGGGGCTGCAGGAAGGGGAAGAGCTCGCCCCGGTCACACAGCAACCAGGCCTTTGCCACCTTCCCATTCTGTTCCTGCTATACCTCCAGGCCCTGCTGCCAGGAGTGGACAGATGGTCAGCTGGTATCAGATGGACAGAAACACGCTGTGCATTTTACTTGGAATTCATTACAAAATTAAATAGGATTTGTGATGGTCAGAGTAATTTGGACTTCCCAGTGGTCCCCACCACGACTAAATGAGCAGCCGGGGTTTTTCTAAGGGGAGAAATGTCAGGCTGGGAGCGGGAAGTCCCGAGGACTGTTCCAGCCTCGTGACCTCTGGCAAGTTACTTCTCTGGACCTCAGTGTCCTCACCCATCCCTTTCAGCCCTAACATTTAGCTCTAACGTTAGTTCCTGCCCAGGAGGTAGACATGCTTTGCAAAGTATTCAGTAACATTTATGCTAATGTGATAATTATTGAGGGGTGGCTCCCCTTCCCCATATGGCTTCCACAAGGACAGGGGTTTGAAGGTGACCTGAACATTTGGAAGGAAGTTTGGTGTGGCCAAGAGGCACATGTGGGATCTGGTTATCACAGGCTGGACCCTCCATAAGGATACCCCACAAGAGGTGGGGCAAGGGGGCTGAAATCCAGGCTTCTCCCCTGTCGTGACACAGATGTGGCCTAGCCTTTTACTAATTTCCACAAAGTTGCCGCCTGAGCTAGTCGAAGTTCTGGCAGATGAAGTTGCCTGGACACCACAAGAAGAAGAGAGCATAGACTGGAGGGATTAAGATCGATGAAAAAGCACGCAGAGCAGTGAGAAATGGAGACATCTCTGGGCCTGGAGGGACTGGTGATCTGGTTCTCAGGACTCCGTGGCATGGGCTGTGAAAGTCCTGAGGAGGAGGGTGCGATAGCCACAGTACACAGTACAGAAAGCTACAGCCAGCCTAAGCCCAGGCAAACGCGTCGCCTCCTTTTAAAAACTTATGGTCTTGGGAATTGCCTGGCGGTCCGGTGGTTAGGACTCCACCGTTTCACTGCTGAGGGCCCGAGGGCCTGGATTCAGTCCCTGGTGGGGAACTAAGATTCCGCAAGCCATGCGGCGTGGCCAAAAAACCCAAAAAACCAACAAACAAAAAAACCCTGATGGTCTTAACTACATTTACATTTTCTAAAAAGACCAGAAAGAAATATGACAAATGATTAATATTGGTTTTCTTTATGTAGAAGGAATAGGGGATGTTTTCTCCTCTCCATTTATTTATTTATTATTTATTTATTTAATTTATTTTTTTTTAGCCGTACGTGGGCCTCTCACTATTGTGGCCTCTCCTGTTGCAGAGCACAGGCTCCGGACGCGCAGGCTCCGCGGCATGTGGGATCTTCCCGGACCAGGGCACGAACCCGTGTCCCCTGCATCGGCAGGCAGACTTTCAACCACTGTGCCACCAGGGAAGCCCTCCTCTCCATTTTTTGATTCCCAGGTTTTCCATAATGAGTCTGGATTTCTTTTAGAGGGGGAGCATATCAAATTCAGAAAAAATGAAAGCAGGATACTGACCTAGGCTTGGAATGAATTGAGTGCCTGCCTCCATGGCCCCCTTGTTGCCGGTCATCCCCTGGCCCTCTGTATACCCATCCCCTTGCCCAAAGCAGATACCCAGTGGATTGCTTCCCACCTCTCTGTGCAGGAAGCAGATCCCACTTTGCCAGCTCTGTCCCTCGAGTTGAGCTCAAGTAGCAAGAGAATCCCAGGGAGATCTAGTGCAGCTCCCACTTAGAAAGTGAAGGAGGGGGCTTCCCTGGTGGCGCAGTGGTTGAGAGTCCGCCTGCCGATGCAGGGGACACGGGTTCGTGCCCCGGTCCGGGAAGATCCCACATGCCGCGGAGCGGCTGGGCCCGTGAGCCATGGCCTCTGAGCCTGCGCGTCGGGAGGCGACAGGCCACAGCGGGGCAGGCCACAGGAGAGAGACCCCCGACCCAAAAAAAAAAAAAAAAAGAAAGTGAAGGAGGGGTGAGTAGTCAGATAAATACCTTCAGAGCACCCTGGAGAGGTGAGCGCACCAAGGGGATAGCCTGAGAGCTTTGCTTTGGCAGTCTGCCCCACCTGGGCTGAGCACAGCCTTGCACAGAACTTGGTGTGCCAGCTGGGTTTCTGGAAGGAGCTGTGGGGAGGGCTGGGAAGGAGGGACATGGCGCTTGCTTGGCCTGTGGGTGCCCCAGTCACCACCTGGTCCGGGGCAAAGTCCACAGCCGCACCACCTCCCACTGCCAAGGAACTTGGGGAGTGGAGGATCCAGCTCCTGAACTGACAGTAACCACCAAACTGTGTCAGAAAACCACAGAGAGAGGTCGGAATAGCCCTTGGACCCTGCCCTGGAGCCTCTACTACGGCACCAAGGCATTGGTGCCCTTGTCTCCTGGCCTTGGAGAACTCTGGTCTCTCCAAGATGCTTTTTGCCATGCCTTGCTATCCCTTCTGTCCAGGAGGACATGCGCGCACCAGTAAGCAGGTGTTTGGCCCTCTAGGCAAGCCTGACCTATGGAAATCTGAACTTGCGGAACAGATAAATTAGTGGACTATTCTTTGTTTTACAAGATAACCTGGCTATAAGATTCTTTTAAATAGTGAGCTACCCCAAAGTAGTGTAAAATCTGATTTGCTTTAGAAAAAAAAAAGTGACACAATAGCCAAACTTCCCAGGTATCCAAAGTTGCAAAGAGCCAGATGCCTACAGCCACATGTCCATGCCTAGTCACAGAGGCTAGGGAGGCCTGGGGGAAGGGAAGGTACTCGGGATTTTGAACAGACTCGGCATTTGGTGACACGTCTGGTTGTGCAGGACGCTGAGCAGGCCGCGCTGAGGGCAGGGCCCTGCCCCGGGGCCTTGCCATCCATGGGATGATAGAAATCAGCCCTGAAGATGTAAGCTACACCTCTGCTGTTTGCACAGCTTGGGAACCCACAAAGGGCCTCACGGGACAGCCTGCGCCACCCCCCACCCGCCTATGGTGGTCAGCACCCTGGCATGCATGTAGGCACCCCAGGACAGCCCCCACCATGCCAGCTGGGTTCTGTGAGCTCTCCTAAGGGCCTTGCCCAGACTGGGCTAGGCTCCTTCTGAGCTGGGACAAGTTAACCATTGACAGGGGTGGAGGTGGAAGGGTGGAGGGGGATTGAGGGAGCAAGTCAGCGTCCATGTTGCAAGACAGAACTCAGAACCCCCATCCGCCATCTCTCTGCAGGGCCCCTGTGGTACTTCTTCACTCTGCATGAGACTGGGGTACCCTGGATAGGACAGGGAGATGTTCCTGCTGGCCAGCCAGAAACATCCTCCAGGCTGGGGGGTAGGAGGTGGTAGGCTCCAGCTCAGCAAGAGTTAACAGAGCCCCACTCTGGAGTTAAACTTTCCCAGAAGGAGCTCTGTTGGAGGCCTGGATTGACTCCAAGAAGCCAGTGGGATGAGTGGAGTTCTGCCTGCCCACCTAGCGAGAGATGGGAGACTGCGTGCCTGGTTCCCCCTCCCAGCTGGGCCTGTCAGCTGTGGAGGCAGAACTGGGTCCCCTGACAGAGGTCTGTGCCTTGGTTTCCCCTCCTGCCCACCCTCTGCCTGTACCTGTGATCCCGACCGCTCCGGGCTGGAGGCGAGAGCTTCCCTAGAGAAGGAGCTGAGTGGAGGAGCTGCCCCGAGGGAGGCTGAGGGAGGTAGGGGTGCCTCCGGGGTGCCACGCCAGGCAAGGCTCAGGCCAGGAGAGCTGAGTAGGAGCAGCTGTGCAGCAGGTGAGAGAGAAACAGGTGCAGGAGCGGGTACCTGCTCAGCGGCGCTGCAGCTCCAGGAGTCAAGGTGAACCTGAAACCCAGCCCTTCCCGGCTAAGTAAACAGTAGCAGAGGCTGGCTTGGCTGATGAATATTCATCACCCCAGAAATCCAACCCCAGCACCCTCCGCACCCACCCAGAAGCCAGGGTCCTCCAGGGACCGCCCAGCCAGGAGGAGGCAATCCTGAGAGAAGTCTGAGGTGGGGAGAACACGGGAGCCTCTCTCCTCAGTTTCCCCACTCTCAGGTGCCTGGTGGCAACCCCCAACCATAACCAAGGTCACCCCCACCCATTTCATGCCCCAAAGAGACCAGACCCTTCCCCGGAATGAACTGCCGCGTGGACGTTGCCCCGGGCACAGTCGGGGAAGGGTTAAGGGCCGCTGCTCCCATTGGCTGGGAGGGACGGGGTGCACCCAGCTCCTTTGAACTCCGGAGTCGAAACCAGTCCCTGGTTAAACTGGTTGGCAGACCGGTTCCCAGGCTCTCCTCCCAGGCTGTCCGCTCCCACCCCAAGCCTCAGGCGGGTGCTGGGTGGGGGGCTGTGGCTGCCTCCTGACCTGAAGGGCCTTCCTCAAGATCTCCCTGGAGGTGGAGTTGAGAGTCACCGGCCCCTCCTTAGGCCAGCTTCTCCAGACCCACCACAGCCTCAAGCATCCTCGTCCCCTGCTCCCTCGCTTAGAAGTAGGCTTCAAAGACCTTGAAATCCTACCTTCCTCCATGCACCGTGTCCCGCTCCAGGCTCAGAGCGAGACACTGGGTAGAGAAAAGGCATACGATTCCCCCTATCCCTGGCTCTCCCTCCAAGTTACATTCTAAATTCTAATTAACCAACTCTCAAACCTGCCCTACCATCTCCAACCCTGCATCTACTTGGTTCAGCTTCTCATGGCCTCTTGAGTACGTGCTTGCCTCCATCCTAAATATCCCCTTGTGCCCCTAGGCCTCAGGCGGACAGTCCTTCAAAGGCTCCGCACGGCCCATAGTGGAACAGACTTGGCCTGGCCCTCCTAGGAAGGGGCCTCTGCATCCTCCTCTCCCAACGCTCCCTGAATGTGCACATGAGGTCTTTCTCTGCCTACCTTCCTGGGTGCAGAAGCTGCCTAACAGGACGAGATTAGGAATGGCCTCTCCACACCCTGAGTAAACCAAGACAAACTCCTATCCATCCCTCAAGGCCTAAATTAATTATTATGCCCCCTGCTCCACCAGGAATTTTCTTGTTCCTACAGGGCTTACTCACATGGTTCTATTTAACATGCTATATACCATGATTGATTAAATATGTATACACACACATATATAGTATTATTTTTTAATTTATTTATTCATTTGTTTATTTTGGGCTGCTTTGGGTCTTCGTTGCTGCTTGTGGACTTTTACTAGTTAGGGCGAGCTGGGGCTACTCTTCGTTGAGGTGTGCGGACCCCTCATTGCGGTGGCTTCTCTTGCTGTGGAGCACAGGCTCTAGGTGCGCAGGCTTCAGTAGTTGCAGCATGCAGGCTCAGTAGTTGTGGCTCACGGGTTCTAGAGTGCAGGCTCAGTAGTTGTGGCACACGGGCTGAGTTGCTCCGCGGCACGTGGGATCTTCCCGGACCAGGGCTCGATCCCGTGTCCCCTGCATTGGCAGGTGGATTCTTAACCACTGCATCACCAGGGAAGTCCACATGTATAGTATTGTAATGATCTAGTCATGTATTTGCCTCCCTTATAGAATGTTAGCTCTTGGAGCCCAGAGTTATCTATCACTGATACTGACCTGATATATGGCAGGTACTTAATGCAAACTTTGAAATACAAATAAGAGGGACTTCCCTTGTGGCACAGTGGTTAAGAATCCGCCTGTCAATGCAGGGGACACCGGTTTAATCCCTGGTCTGGGAAGATCCCACATGCTGCAGAGCAAATAAGCCCGTGCGCCACAACTACTGAGCCTGCACGCCACAACTACTGAGCCTGCACGCCACAGCTACTGAAGCCTGCGTGCCTAGAGCCCACGTTCCACAGCAAGAGAAGCCACCGCAATGAGAAGCCCGTGGACTGCAACAAAGAGTAGCCCCTTTCGCCGCAACTAGAAAAAGCCCGCGCGCAGCAATGAAAACCCAATGCAGACAAAAATAAATTAATTAATTACTTAATTTAAAAAAATACAAACGAGATACAGAAGTATTGTCTTTAAGAAATTCTTAATGTAACCACTTGCCTTAGTCCTACTCTCCCTGGGGCAGGTAAATGTGAAAGAAAACACATTTATTTCACTTCTTGTGGTTTCAGCTACACCAGGCTTGCTGATACGTTATCAATTCCCCTGGGGTCTATGTGAATTGAGGATATTACTTTGTAAGGTTCTCCTGCCTCTCATGAGAGGTACACACAGTTGTCCCAAGAAGGTTTCTAGATCTGTCACTTTCTCTGAAAGCCTAGTCTATTTGAGAGTGGATGTCCAGTCCAGAAGACACCAGAAGAGGCTAAAAACTTAACTCAGGTGTTGGGAAGATACTGGAAGGATGATGGGATGACACTATCCTGGAGGACTGTAACCAAGGGCCAGGACAGCATTTCCATCTGTAGGAGGAGGGACTTGTGCTGGAAGCACTCCCTGCCCCCACTCCAAAATTCAGGGCTTTCTGATGTGTGGGACCCAGGAGGGCAGAATTCTGTTCTCTCAGCTCCAGTCTGGAGGATGCGCTCTGGTGAGTGGGATTCAGTGGATACCTACGTAGCCTGCCCTTCGAAGAATGCCAGCAGGACCAGGTGCAGGGGTAGAGGCCCGCCCCAGCTCCCCTTCCTGGGAGGGACCAGCCTGGGAAGTCAGGCCCAACCCCTGACCTTTGGTAGGTTTGTTTCTGGGAGGAGCAGGGTTGGGAGGGGAGTTTGAGATAAGGCTATAAACTATGAATATCCCTTAAACAGATCACCCCCACAAGGCTGCTTTATTGCTTTCTAGAATTTTCCACCTTTTAATGCACCTTCATAAAACTAGGTTCAAGTATGATATTCCAAATACAAACATGCAATGTGCACTTTTTCAGAAATGTGTCCTTGTTGAGTAAAGCAAGTAAAATACACCTAAGGGAGCCTCAAGGACCTTGGTGCCTGTTGGGACATGCAGCCACCAGGCCCCACTGGATTATAGATCTCTAATCTGGCCCAACAGATCATTCCTCTCTTATTGACCTCTGCCCAGGGAGTAGATCTAGGCTCCAGGGAGAAGAGAGGGGCTACCATTCTCCTCAGCACTCCCCCTCCTCTGGAAGGCCAGAAGATGGGAGATCCTGGGGGGGCAGGGGTTGGGCAGCTTGGCTGAGGGGATAAGTGGGGCCAGGCCAAAGACTGGCCTCTGGAAGCTACACCAGGCGCAGCTGGGAGGTGGGCAGGGGCAGGTCTGAGGTGGATGTCGAGGTTGCCATTGGAGGGGCTGCCTTTGCTCCCCTTCAGGGAGACCTCAGTGGGGACTGGGAATATGAGCAGCCAATGTTCACAGTGACTGTGTCCCAGGGACCGCCCCAAATGCTCTACGTGTGAGAACTCGGGATCCTCACTGCCACCCCAAGGTAGAGCCTCTGAGTGAGTTCACCAACTCGCATCCCACACCAGCAATTTTCCCGTTACTCTTTGTTTTGGTTCCCTGTGGCTAATGTAACAAATTACCACAAACTTGATGGATTTAAACAACAGAAATATATTGTCTCACCAGTTCTGGAGGTCAGAATTCCAAAATCAGCTTCACTGGCCAAGACCAAGATGTTCCTCCCCCCGCTTCTGGTGGCGGTAGGCATTCCTTGGCTTGTGGCCACATCACTCCCGTCTCTTCCTCCATCTTCACATCACCTTCTCCTCTTCCATGTGTCCAATCTCTCTCTGCCTTTTTTTTTTTTTTTTTGCGGTACACGGGCCTCTCACTGCTGTGGCCTCTCCCATTGCAGAGCACAGGCTCCGGACGCGCAGGCTCAGCGGCCATGGCTCACGGGCCCAGCCGCTCCGTGGCATGTGGGATCTTCCCAGACCAGGGCACAAACCTGTGTCCCCTGCATCGGCAGGCAGGCTCTCAACCACCGCGCCACCAGGGAAGCCCTCTCTGCCTCTCTTTTACAAGAACACTTGGGAGAATATTTAGGGTCCACCCAGATAATCCAGGATGATCCTTACTTAATCACATCTGCAAAGACTCTTTTTCCAAATAAAGTCACATTCACAGGTTCCAGGGGTTTGATGTGGGCATCTTGCGGGTCGGCGGGGAGCATTTGTTGGCCTGCCTCACTCTTCATTTTGACCACCTCTGTGTTGTCAGACTGTGGTAGACAGTGAGTGTGCCAACCAGACTCCCCCCACCCCGTGAGGAAGGACTTGCTGCCTTCCTTGGCGGTTGGCTTCCAGCTGTCAGCTCTTTCAGGGCCTGCTGCAGCTGCAGAGAGCACCTCTCCCAAGAGCCTGCCCTTCTGGGGCAGCCTGCATCTGGGGATATAAGGACCAGCCATTTCAGCCCCATGAAGGGCACTCGGGCGGGCAATAATCACTCCAGAGCTCTCCACCAAATTGACTGAAGCTTTGTCAGGCCAGCATTACAGGTGGATTTCTCCCACTGCTCAATCCTACTTCTGTCTGGTTCCTCTCACAGGGAGTGATCCCTAGTAAGCATCTTGCCCCCCAAACTTCACCTACTTCTGGAGAACACAACCTGGGTCACAGACATTATAATATTTGCCAGTATGATGGAAGTGAAGTAGCAATTTTTGTGTCTTATATATTTTCATTTCCCTAGTGCACTGGATTGAATAGTGTCCCCCAAACTCATATCCACCTAGAACTCCAGAGTGTGACCTTATTTGGAAATAGGGTCTTTGCAGACGCAATTAGTTAAGCTGAGGACAAACTAGATTAGGGCGGGCCTTAAATCCAAGGACTAGTGTCCTTACAGGAGGAGAGAGACAGAAACACGCAGGGAGAATGCCATGTGACGACAGAAGCAGAGATTGAAGGGATGCAGCTGCAGGTCAAGGAACAGCAAGGGTTGTCTGCAACCACCGGAAGCTGGGTAAGAGGCCAGAACAGATCGTCCCTCAGAGCCTTTGGAAGGAATCAACCTTGCTGACACCTTGATAG